GCAATCACACACAACCATACTCACTCTCACAGGGTATAGGGAGGGATTAATAACAGCGGAAGCCTCGCTTATCGAATCAACTGCAATACGTATGGTAGGAATGATTCAAAACCTGTCCTACTACCCCAGCGACAACAAATAAGACAGGACAAAGAAAACTATCAAACTCAAGTTTCAAAGTCGTGTGATTATAATTGATATGATCATGAAACGCAATAAATTTGTTCTAAACCTTGTCATCGAGTAAATACTATTGTTTCACTAAAATGATACGTCAGTTTTTGTATTTAGCTACAATCAGCATTACCAAGCCCCGTAATGTAGACTGTGTTTTCAACATGCTTTGATTGGAAAGGTGAAGAATAAGAATGACACTTACTAGATTGTCGACTTAACGGATGTTAAATGTGTCACGTTAACTGTATAGGTGTTTCTGAACTGCTCGGATATGATTTCAGAAAGAATTATTTCCACTAACTTGGGAAGTAATAATCACACATGGTCTCCAATGTCAACTGGCACCGGTATTGTTAGATATACTTTTTGTAGAAAGTCTTTGTACTTCAAGAAGTAAGATTAATTTTTACCACTGATTTATGTAAAACAAGCAATAAAGGTTAATAAAGCAGGATTTAATGAATACATGAAATTTCGGTAGAACTCTTCCTCAGCTGAATACTCTACATACACGGATATATAAACACTTTTGAAATGACATTGGGAGATATAAGACTGATAAGTAAACAAACTACATTGAATTAGGCATGCAGAAAAACAGGTGAGAATGTTTTCCAGGTCATGTTCAAATAGATATGAGGAGGAAGGGAGTATAAGAGATCAAAATTAAGATAAAATACATAACGCTTCAATTACATCAATTAGATAAACAATTAAACATTAGAGAATATAACAAGAGTGGCAAACAGAGTAATATCAATAGTATTAGTTACAATAACAATAATAATAGTAGTGTTGAAGTGATTTCTGTGACCATCACGGATTTCATGTTAGATTCCATCATGAACTCACGTCAGTTAGTGAACCACTGGGCACCGTTTTGTCCAAGCTTGAGACTATGTCATGCATAATATCATCAGAGATCAAATTCAAGACCCTTATGTAGAGAGAGCCAAACATGTTGCCATTTAGCTACAGAATTCAATAGCCACTGAATTTTAACTACTGACAACTGATGATGATATTGGTTGTCACTACCGCTTTAATCACTTAAACTCCCACAGATGAACACTTAAAAATAATTCTACTTCTTTTTATTAATGATTGACTACAGAGTGGACGTTGTGGAGCTGTAGCTAGAAGTCGTAATCGATGGGATCCATTTAGTCACGTGTGAAGAACTCTACTTTCCGATGATGAAATTAGCCAATTGTAGCTTTCTGTATTGTGAAGTGTTAGAAGTTGGAATTCATGAGCCGTTGCGTCCTGCCACAGAGAATGAGTGACACCGTGTTAGTTGCTTGCAACCAGGAATTTCTTGATTCCATCTGTTGTAGGGATGAAGAGTCGCAAATGAGGACAGAAAGATAATCTTTGGTTTTAAGGTGGATATGCGATTGGTGTCGGTCCGTTAATGATTCGGTTCTCTTATCACATCTAATTGCCTTTTTTAAAATAAACTTCGAAAATTATCACTTCAATTATTTATGTATTCCTAATGAAAACGATACCTATAGGTTGTTTGACTAATAAAATGATTTGGATTTGCCATTGAATGTAATTTGTAATCATCCTATACGTATACCAGACATACTGTTCTACCTTCCTGTCGCTTATTTTTTGTGACAGTCACACCAATGTCAATAAGCATGTGAAACTAGATTTCCTATAAAATAAGCGGTGTGAATTGTACGTCACCATTTCTTTGAGTATTTACTTCTGTAACGAGAGCCGGAAGTGCTTGCAGCTACATACTACTAATTAATTGATATGAGTAGATGGACGCCATTCATATTAATCGGTAGTGCTTGCTAGCCCCAGATCATCGAAGGGATTTAAACAACGGATATCCGTCCTACTAGTTTAATAGTAGTAGTGATAATAATCATAATAATAACTTTATAAGCAGTACAGAATTCTCAGTATGTTTCATTGCAAAGTATTCACCCCTTGTGAAGCATCTTCAGGTAACATAATAATCGATAATATACCATTATAATAAAGGTTTTTGTATTTCCCAATGAATGAAAAACAAAACGATATTGCTATTTTTACTGACGTTTCGCTATTTAATGCTGGTGCTAATAACTTTATCAAAGTATTATTAAACCGGAATTTACAAAATCCACTCAGCTTATATATAACAAAGAGTTAAGGGGTGAAAAAAATAGACAAGCTAGGTCAAGTTAAAAGGACATATTGAAAGTCAAAATAACAATGAAGATCACTAAACCAAATTATAAAGGTAATAGTACGTCTGTTATGATATAAAAATAAAGTTTACTAACTTGATCATAGTTCGTCAGTCTGGGGACATTTTTCGTTGTCAAGTTGGTCATCTGGTAGAGATAACAAAACCAAGTGTAAATTGTTGGATTTGTTCAGTGTGTAAAATTATAAAAGTGGTGTGAGTTTGCATAGGGAACTTGCTTATCACATTCGTGTTGAATTTGCCACTTCATGGGGGGTGGAGGTGTTGTAACCAGATCAAATTCTGTTTTAGTCCAACGTTCCTTTTCAGTTAATTTGAACTCCATTTCATATGAAGTGCTTCTGATGATGTTAGACGTTATTTGTGACTTCTGAAGTTCTTCTGGATTATCTCAATATTGTCAAAATTAATTTTGTGACCTGATTCCATAATGTGTAGACCTATGTCTGGTCATCCCATATCTTATCTATCTCTAAGAAAATGTTTCGTCTTACCTTCTACATTAAAAAGTTAAGACAATCAGGTATCAACCAACCTTTAGTTTTGCAATTTTTAAACTCCTGTATTTTACCTATTGTACTCTACTGCTCTCCATTAATCTTTCCTGGGCTGCTCAAAAAAGATTATATCATATTACGAAGAGTATTAAATGCTGTGAGTAGAGCTTGTGGTCTGCCACTGCATGAGCTCGCTAATACTATAGTCGAGAGGCATATAAATTCCTGTACGAAATGGGCAAAGGCTATAATGTCAGACCCTCTGCACCCCCTTTATTCACACCTGTCCCCTTGTATCTCATCAGGTAGGACGAGAAGTCAATATAAAAAGATATATGCTCGTACTACTAAGTATAGAAATTCTACAATACCCTATTTAGCGCGTACTTTATGTGACGAAGACTCTGTTAGACGTGAAACTTACAAGTTACTATGTAATTAGCACAGTGAATCGACCCTTTTATCGTTCATCTTTCTGTATTTTATGGTGTTACACTTTCTATCGTTTAAATCGTTACTCTGCTATTTTATATTAGTTGGTATTACTATTATTACTACAATTTTGTACTTTATACATATTTTTCTCCGTATGGCACACAGTATTTTGCTACGTAGCTGCTACAACAATCGTTTTATTACTATTATGTATTGTGTATTTTTAATTTTTTTTGTCGTTTTTGGGTAAATTAGATGCAATATTGTAGTGAATGCTGAAAATTCCTTGCTGTATCATGAGTACTGTTTTTGGAATAAAGCAATTATTATTATTATTATTATTATAAGTTTTTCTCTAGCCTTTCTACTTCAACCGGATTTCTCGGTGGTCGAACAGATGCTCTGGGGTGTCCATTTCTTCTGATTTTGATTTCTCGAGATGTTTGTCCGATGTATATCGCATCACATTCCAAGCATTTCATTTTATAGACAAAATTAGATAGAGAATCTTTCGGATTTGGTCTTTTATATGGACAAAGTTGTTTTGCAGTATGTCTAATGTTTTGAAGAAAATCTGGTGTCGAGCTTATTTAGTACTCTTCTGATATCACATGAAGTCTCTGCTCTATATGGAATGATGACTGTTGAGGTCCATTTTTTCGGCCATACTTAATGTCTGTGTTGATTTTGTTGATGAAGTGCTTTGAGTAGTTGAAACTCTCAAGAAAACTGTTAAAAGTGAACCTGGTTTGGACATATATAAAAATAATATACTATCTGAAACATGCTTCAACACTCCGCAATATTATTTCCCCATTTTCTTCAAAAAATTCATATCGTTAGCATAGGGCCCAATTATTAAACATAATTGGATAAATAAAATAAAGATGAAACGGAGTGAATACAATTCATTTTGATGGATAGAAAACTAAGGGTAGTCCAGTGGTTTTAGGAAACCGCCGCTTCCCTTTTGTGAACTGAGTTCATCATTTGTGTAAACAGCTTTTCGAATTGTTAGTTTAACATTTTTATCCATTAGACATTAGTGTCATTATTGAGTGTTATCTCTATTACAATTTTTTTTAATTTTCAATTTTTATTCCTATACGTTCCTAGCGGAACATAGTGTTTCAAGCTAAAGATTTGAAATTTCGGTACCAGTGTGTTTTATTTTTTTATGGGATGTGGTCGCTAGCCTTATGCCCAACCTTCCCTCTTTACGAGTCTTGTTATTGGTTTAGCAAGGTGAAGGAGTGCGTTGGACGGATATTGGACCTCAAAACATCTCTGTGGTTATCGACCATTCTACTGCTGTGCATCGACGCATCCACTGCAGTATAGTCAACGTCTGGGTTAAATAATTCTGTACTGTAATATGTATATGCTTCAGTGATTTAATGACTTAATGCTCACCAGCCACTCGTAGGATCCGAGTAAGATTTCCGGTTGACACGCCCACGTCAGCCTCACCCACTAGCCAACAGTAAGTCTGAGAAATTGGGAAGGTTAAGCGTGAGATTAGCAACTCCATCCTATAAAGGTGACATCATCGCTATTAAAATCGCAAGGCTTTAAGCTCAATGTATTACTAGAAACACAAGGAAATGAGAAAGAAACTCTGTGATATATATTGTAACTGATATAGTTATATTACAATGTTTCCTTATTTTAAATTTTAGTGCGACGATATGATACTCAGTGCGATTGTACACTTGGCCAAGTATATTCTATGCTTATTTTGTTATAAACATGGAACAAATCAGAAATTATTATTTCCTTATTTGGATAAATTTCTGACAAATGAAGTTAGTTCACTTTAAATGATTAATGTTTGATGTTTTAACCTATATATCTCTAAATATCTTTATTTATTATTTTACTATGCATCATAAAAATGTCACAGTGTCTATGAGTACGTAAACATTTCTTCTAGGGCTATCAGCTATACTCATTATGAATACGTTTAGCAGGCAGTTTCCTGAGCATAAGTTAAGTTTTGTTATGCTAGAGATGACGGATTATAAGTAATTCTATACGGATTGTTGTAATAACAGTAATGACTGAATAGTCGTGACCAGTAGGGCCTAGCAGGTCGGGTGTGAGGAGAAATACTCGCCATGGATGACGTTGGCTAGGGGTCGCACTATGTTAAGAATTGGCAGAGGTTAGAATTCATGGGCCATTGGGTGGGTCCCAGTAGCTTATTGGTATACGAGCTCGCCTTGTAACCACAAGGTCCTGGGTTCGAGCCCCACTGGGTGCGTACTGCTGAAGAGTCTCAAACTAGGACTAAACGGCTGTCCAGTACTCCCAGGTTTTCCAATGGTTCTCTAGCCAATGTCAGCTCATGATGAAATCCTGTAACCAATCAACCAAATCCTTACAAACCAACACTTAAATAATGACTTTATTCGACAACAGTATTCTTGATGCAATGTAGAATTGTGAGCATGCAGCACAAGCACCAATCAACTATCAACGGAAAGGAATTCGAAAGAGGTTAGTTCCTTTACTTATCTAAGCAGCATCGTTTCATCTACAGGCACATGTTACGGATGAGGATGTGAAGAAATGAATCTGAAAAGCGAGACAAACCTTCATCAATCTGAAGTCAGTTTGGAAATCTTCTACACTCAGCACACAGAACAAAATTCGGATTTTCAACACTAATGTGAAGTCAGTCGGTTCTTCTGTATGGATAAAAAACTTGACTGGCGCTTCACAGAAAGCATTTCTAACAGGTGGCTGCTGACTTTTATCAACAGCTGCCCACTTCCATGGTTTCATACTGAAGATCAACTGACAAGTCATCCAGAAAGAATAAACAACAGGAAATCTTACGAGTGAACCAAACAAGAGCCGATTACTCAACATGTATCTCAATGAAAGTGAAGATGATTCGGAAATATGCTGAAGAGACCACCGAATAACATCATGTACCAGTCAGGATATCTCCCGAGTGGAGCTCGAAGGTGAAACGATGAGTGGGCTCCAGAAAGTTACACGCGGGAGATGAGTGACTATAGACAATCGTGAAGACAACATAAGAGGATCACAGAGAACAGGATGAAGTGGAGATATTCGTTTGAAAACCTATGTTCCATTCGGAACTGAAGCGAACAGTCATAATATTAACAATAGAGTATGGCATATAATTTTCTATTTAAATTACACAGTAAAGTGAAAAAGAAACTGACAGAATATTTACATTGATAATACTGTCAATAAGGAATTTGAATATAAGCTTGGAATTAGGTAGAATTAATGTCAACAGTATAATTATAGTAGAAAGAATACACAAGGTCTTTCGCTCAGTGTTTCGCAGTTAATTAAAAGTTTGATGTTTAACATTTTTTTCTCACCACATAAAATGCTTGCCATTCAAGTTATCGTAGAGCTTTAACACGTATTCGTCCAAGCATAAAGTTTTGCATAACTGCCCCTAATTCTTCCTGATGAGTGGCAATAAGAAGAGGTTTGAATAAATAGGATGCTCGAATTCCGACATTAAAAGATATTCCCCAACTTCTTGAGTAAGTTCAAGTGTCTGTCCACACCAGAAATGGCACTAGTTAGAAGGGTTTATTGTAAAAGAAACGGAATCCCTCTGGTGATTTTCGAACTGCCTTCACCAAAAAACGTCTCCATTGAGCAATCGAAGCTCAGTTGAATACAGATGAATACCATAAGTATCAGCTTAAGTCGAGTGACTGTTACAAACCTGGAATTTAAAAGAAAAGAAGCACTGCGGGATACTAGAGTCATGTTATTACAAGCCATGTAAAACAGAAATCGTCTGTAGAATAGGTATTCAGTGAAGAATGACGCTTTCTTCAATGGTGGCATCGTAACTTTTGTATATACACCAGTGGGTATAGAAGTTAGAATTCATGAGCCATTGAATCGGGTCCCAGTGGAAGAATGGTATACGAGCCAGCTTGCCTTGTAACCAGAAGGTCCTGGGTTCGGACCCTGGTGGTGGGTGCGTACTGCCGATGATTCCTAAACTAGGATGAAACAGCAGTTGTCCAGTACTCCCTGTGGCTGGATTTCAATGGTTCTCTAACTGATATCAATCCGTGATCAACTCGTAAAAACATAACTAACCCTTACAAACCAAAGTATAGAAAATATTCTATGTTTATTTGGTAACGGTTTTTTATTTGTTTCTGTGATTTTTGTTTCTAATTGTCATTCACTTTGTTTTCACAACAACAACAACAAAATAAAGATTGATGATGCAGAAATTTGTATGGCAATCCTTGAAGGCAATACTGAATTATGCATGATGATGACAGATCGTTCAATGATGCGAAAACTATGCATTCTCCTTCAAAGCAGCAGTCCACGCTTACATTGGCTTCGAGTATTATCAACAGTGTTGCAACCGAACTCAGAGATATTACGACCAATGCAAGAAATGTTGTCTACTGAGGTAAACTCATTTTCATGCTTATTCACATTGGGCTTAACTGTTGACAGCCTTTTTAATTTATGTCTTATTTAAACAAAATTGACAAAGTTATTCCGGTGTAGACTTTATCATTTGTTTTGGCTACCTTAGTTACTTTATCATTTCGTCTAAACGACTGGCTAATAGATTTAAGAGTGTGAAACATCCACGTACCATGAATCGAAATTCAGCTGGAATGAAGAATATTCTTTTCAGTAGGTCCTCCACTTCAGCTTCTTCTTATTATAAAATATAATATTTACTGTTAAAGTAATAGCCACTTTCATTACTCTGAAGTCTGTTTGGAGATCAACAGCACTCAGAATGAAAATGAAAATAAGATGCGGATTTTCAACCCCAATGTGAAGTCAGTCAGTGCTACTTACCATAAGGATCAGAGACTTGGCCAGCGCGTCATAAAGAGCATCTCAAACAAACTAAAGACCTTCATTAAAAGCTGTCTTCGCTCGATACTACTCAAGATCAGATGGCCGACCAGAAAAGATCAGCAATAGCGAGGGATCTATGGAAGTGAACCAACCGCGCAGAAACCAACTGTGCCACAAATCTGCAGGAATAAATGAAGATGGATTGGCTATACTCTGAGGAAACCATCAAGTGACATCACTAGACAAGCCATTGCTCGAGTGGAACCCGAAAGGGAAGCGGCAAGTTGGTCGTCAGCGTGAGAGTGACCTGGAGGTGGTCATGTGAAGAGGAGATGAAAGCATGTGGGCAGACCTGGAGACAGGCGAAAACTCTAGCAGAGAACCGAACGCAATGTAGACGCGCAGCTGAAGCCCTATGTTCTTCTAGGAATTGAAGGAAATAATAACCACCAATGAGGCGGATATATTTTTACGTAGAACAACAGATTATTTATAGGGGGGAGGCAGGATAAACATCATTTGTGTGACAAGCATGCTAGGCTGGATGCAATCGCAGAATACTGTTAAATGCGAAATGATGATGCTGGCTGGTCTTAATCGATTCATAAAATGTGCGGAAGGAAGGAAAACTGACAAGTCAGTTTAGGATGTACGGGAAAATGCATTGAAAAAATCTATTGCTCCGAAGTCTATTGCTTATATATTCATTCATTCACCAGGAATTGTAATCAAAATTTATTTTATATGTGAGCATCGGTGGTGTGAAGCAGTTATTACCTAAGGAAGTGCAGACTACTTGTTTGTGGACGTTGCGATGTTAAGAGCTGAAGAGCTGGAGACTATTCGGGGTATGACTCAAAATCGTTCTCAGTGGCTCAGATGTATTAACTGTCTGTTGTCTCTGGAGTTTGTATAGAACATAGGCACTGTGTTAGAATATAATTCCATATTAGTTCAGTTTACTTGAAATATTGCACGGTGATGCAGTGTTAATAACTGAATGATGTTTTGGCCACACGGCTTCATGGTTCACCCTGTATATGTGTGTCTCTCTCTTGCCGTTGTTGTTTGTTGAAACTTTCCGTTTCTCCGGTATAGTTGTTGCGTCATTTCGATTGCAAAGTGTTAAATCGATAAATAAATCAATGCATCGGTGGCACAGCGGTTAGGACTCTCGCCGAGCATGGACATGGTCCAAAGTTCGATCCCCTGCCGGCGCATACCTGATATTTATGGTCGGCCTGCAAGATTTGAGCTACCGATATCCATGCTGGAAATTCCATACTTGTATCAAAAATACAGTGTGAAATCAAGCTATAATCAAAAAAAGATAAACAACGACTCAGTGATTAACTTCTCTATCAATCCACCTAACTAAATTACTAGTGAATAGTTTCACCATGCCTCAACCTATAGTATAACTACCCTGTGGGTGGTGATTAATGTGTCAATTTGATTGTGTATAACCTTTAAAATCGACTAAACTCTCATGTTTTTCTGCGTCATCATGCTTTCTTGTTGTTCTGTCTCAAATGCCCTGATTGGTATTTTCCATGATTTCAGGACTATTCTTTCGCTTTCACGTTTCTTTTCAGTTTCTCTTCTTGTTCTCTTGTCTACTATTGTGTGCTACATAGATTGTGGCAGTTTGAACTGGAGAACTTCTGTGAAAAGGTTTATGTTGACACTCAGTCGGTCAGTCAGTCAGTGACATTATACTGGTCGACCAAGTACGTGTTCAAGATTCGACTCCTGACTGACTCATTCCTAAGACTTGTCTGTTATTAGTAGTCAGTAGTAAGCGCTGTGAAGAAGGCAGGTTGGACATGAGGCTTGAAATCCCACCGATAGTGAAACGTAGAGGATTCTAATTCCTATATTCTATTCCGAGTTCAGTGGATCGAAAACAAAATTTATACACATGAAACAAACTATTAACCCCGAGGGGATGAAGATATCTGCCAACAGAATTAGCGATCATTACTAGAATTCTAGTCAGATGTAATTTATTTTTGTAGTTCAGCATCTTACTGGCTGCTATCACTCAAATTTTACAAAATAAAATGAGCAAATATATTAAAATCTTCGCTTTTAACACATTTTGTTAGAAGAGATGAAAGTTTTCAAACAAAATCCGAGTTAATTACATCTACAGTCTTATGCCTTTTCAATGTATACCTTTTGAAACACTAAAGAAAAAGAAGTTGATGTTCTGAATTATAGCAGCTAATATTCAAGTGTTGGTTTCTAGGATTTCATCATGAGCTGACATTAGTTAGAAAACCTGGGAGTACTGGACAGCTGTTTCACTGATCCTAGTTTAGGACTCTTCAGCAGTACGCATCCACCACCGGGGTTCAAACCTAGGACCTTCTGGTTACAAGACGAGCCCGTAGACCATTGAGCCACTGGGACCCGATCCAATGGCCTACCCATGAATTCTAACTTCTGCCAATTCACGATATAGCGCAACCGCTGCGTCTCTCTACGACTATGCCACCAAAAGTTGTATCTGGTAAAGCTGCGAAGAAGGCATCCAAGGCTAAGTTGCCTAAGGTTGACAAGAAGAAGAAGAGGAGGAGGAAGAAGAGCTTTGTCATCTACATCTACAAAGTCCTCCGTCAAGTCCACCCTGACACCGGTATTTCATCCAAAGCCATGTCAATAATGAACTCCTTCGTCAAGGATATTTTCGAGCGTATTGCCGCTGAGGCAAACAGGTTGTCGCACTACAACAAGAAGTCGACCATCTCAAGCCGCGAAGTTCAGACAGCTGTCCGTCTCTTGTTGCCTGGTGGGCTTGCTAAACACGCCGTATCAGAAGGAACCAAGACTGTCACGAAGTACAGTGTCTCAAAGTAAAACAATCCGCCAGAAGTAGAGAACGCACATCTGACCTGTTGCACTCTACTGGTCATGACTGATAGCAACTAACACTGAAGTCGAGGACATGCCATTTTTTGTCCCGTTGAAGACTCAGCATCTGGATGTACCTGTGTATCCTCATAGAGGCGACAGTATTCCTACTTAGACTTAAACTCCAGAAGTAAGGAAGGAAGGCGTCTTTCTTAATATATTTGAGAAATCAAAAATAGTCGATGCTCAACTTATTAGTTAATAAGGTCACTTAATAAAGTGGAATAGGCTAAATCCAGTGTAGTGATTGTTTATATGATTGATATGTGAACGTTTCATTCTTGCTATATATATAAAAGTATCATTGGGGTTAAAAGAAAGCAAGCAAAAAAAAAACATCACACAGCATGAAAAATAACTAATGCAAAAGTCTGAACTTTGAGTATTTTCGTCTACAGTTAAACAAAAATAAAATAAAATATTAAAAGGGGGAAAAAGAAAATTGGCGAATCTTAACACATAAAAAGTCAGACATAAACATTTTTAAAAGATAAGAAAATAGAGAGAGAGAAAATACTCGACAGATAAAAAGAAAAATAGTAATAATAATAATAACAATAATAATCATTTATTAATATTTCTAAAAATAGTTGATTCATGTGAATATGATGAAATTTTACACAGCAATGGAAGGATTTCTAAAGGAGGATTCTTACGTAAATTATGATTTAAAAAGGAAATGACTGTGATAATGATAATGACGATGACTTTGAGGATGAATACTGTCTAACAGAAAAAAATGTGAAGAGACAGTCTGATCCTGTATTGTGCGTTTAATAAGGAAATTACTGTGGAATAACTATATTGCTGAGGCACATCAGTGTGGTTCAGCGGTAGACCACTCGCCTACCATACATGATGGTGGAGTTTTATTTCCCAGCCCTCCCGCACACACTTCTAAATCTCGCTTAGGCAGTAGTAAGCCTGTTAAAGAGTGAAGGTTGGTCATTAGGCTATCACCCTCCCCCTCCAACAGCAGTTGTAAAAAGCTTACCATAACTACTGAAACTTCAACGCTCAAGACTGAAGTCAGATATCCCACTTGGAAAGAAAAGGAATTCAATAAAACTCTGTTCAGAGGCTGTACAGTCGTATTTATACTTACAAAAATGATATAGTGGTAAATTATTGAGTAATAGGGGTGAGGGTGACATAATTGATATAATTACTCAAAAGTTGTAAATTACGTAACATTCAATGGCGCAAATTAAGAAATGTTAGAAATTTGACAAGGTTAAAATTGCTATTGAGTGAGAATAAAGGCATTTGAGTGTCAATTTAGTAAGTGTGAAGAGGGTGTGAGATGTACAGAAGTAGCATATGAGAGTGATCATAGTGAATTAATTACTTAAGGAAAAGCAAACTAAAAGCAAAATTAAAAATTAAAAAATAAATAAGAAAAGAAAAGTCAAATTTTTTTTTACAAGGAACGACTAGTGAAGAGGTTAACACGAAGGACAAACTTTTTCTGTATGCAGAGTTCAGCGCCTCCGCCATACACAATAATCGCAACCTGATGCCCTTTGTACCAATTGGCTTCACTCTGTAGATGATGTTGAAAGTCGACTCTGGCGGAGGCAATGCCCATTCGTCAATACAACCCTCTTCACTAGTCGTTCCCTGTAAAAAAAATATGATTTTTTCATATGATTTTCTCATTTAATTTTTAATTTTACTTTTAGTTTGCTTTTGCTTTAATAATTAATTCATTATTATCAATCTCATATGCTCCTTTTGTATATTTTCACACCCTCTTCACACTTGTTAAAATTGAAAATCAACTACCACTTTTATTCTCACTCAACAGCAAGTTTAACCTTATCAAATTTCTATCTTTGTTCTGTTGAGTACCACATAATTTACAACTTTTTGATTTTCACTTCTTAAGCCACTTCTGAGTAATTCTATCAATTATGTCACCCCTACCCCTTATTACTCAATAATAGACCACTATATATATTTTTTGTAAGTATAAATACGACTGTACAGCCAAGTCTGAAGATGATTTCTTCGATAAAGAAGCATTTTCTTCGCTGAATTCGTCTTTTATTTTTTCTTTATGACTCAATGGGTAATTTCAGTGATTTAAAACTCTCTTGTTGTATTTGCTGAATAGGATTAAAATTTAATTGCCAACAACATTTAGCCTTACCTGATTGCTCAACATTTTTGTTGACCAGATATCAATAGTCAGTCTTGGGTCTTTTACTGAATTGCTTTTCTTTAAACGTTGAAGTAAATATCCCTATCAAAGACGAATTCAACATTAGCCTTATCTTAGAGGAAATCTTATAACAGATATAAAGAAAGTACTATTGATATGGTGGAAATAAGTGTAAATATGAAGGATAGAGTGTTAATCAGGCTCTACAGTTATATACACATTATAGTGAATAAATGAATTAGTGTTATGAACAGCATTAACGTTGCTGTTTAAATAACATCAAATCAATAATATGGATAGATTACAGCTCAATAGCATCAACATAAAATAAGCTGAATGTCAGAAAAAAAATAGGAAAGGTAATATTACAAATTCATGAATTTATAGTCTCGACTGAAGACCTGGTTGTTTGAGGCGAGTTGCAATAGCCTCTGCTGTTTTGAACATGTGGTGCTTCGATGATTTTGACAATTTATTAGGCACTCGGCAGATTATAGGGAAGGATTCTTCCACTCTGGCTTTGTGGCCAGTTTGCACCAGATGGTCCAATATAGAACTGTCATTGGTTTTCACTACACCTTTACTTAGCCATATTGAGAAATGTGAACAAGCACGAAAAATCAAGTTCCTACAGCAACGGCCAACATAACTCGCTCCATAAGCGCAGTTGATTTGGTAGATACAATTTGAAGTGGCCAGCTAGTCTAGGTACTTCATCTTTCAGTCGAGGTAGCACCATTGCTCGTGTAGAGAATAATACGTATAGTTCGCCAGCATTAAAAGTTCTTTGAACTGATTTTCTTAATTTCCTCGTTATTATTTCACTTGGTATATCGCCGTTGAATTGCAGTCGTATATAAATAAAGTGGCTTCTTATATACGTACAGTGAGTAGTCCTTTTCCGCTTTCTTTATCATGCGTTTCTTGATAAGGTTTTTTTGGGATAGCTATTTTCAATCAAAGTATCATATACAATGCCTAATTCATCTTCAGTTACTTCTTCTGAGCATATAGCTCTAACTAACTCTGTGGGTGAGGGTCTTCACTAAATTTCTTTCGTACTTGATATGAACGAAGCTGTGAAAATGTATAGAATATAAAAGTAATAAACCGATTGGCTTCAGCAGCTTACTAGGGTTAACCATAGTAGCACAAGATCCACTTACTTCAACCTGTGGTTTTTTATCAAGCAAGCTTCAAGGGAAAATTAGGATTAGTCACTACATAGTTAAAACGAATTCCCTACTTGCAAATTAATTCGCGATTTGCAATCTACACAGTTCGAGGAGACGAAATTTAACCATGGCCTCCTTCGGAAACCAAAATAATTCAGATTAAAACGTGAGATCCACTTGAAAAGACAATATTCAGCGAAGAAGAGACTCTTTTCAACGAATCTTACATCAAGCTGTACAATCGTATGTATATATTTGGTTTTTAAGAAATTATATCCCGTGAGGAAATTGAAAACGAATGTGTGAATACATAAAATAATAGTAGTGATATGAAATACAATTAAATATTTGGGATTATAATCACAGTTAAATACCAAGTCTTAAAAGAAATAATGGCATATATAGAATAGTTGATAGAATATGTATAGATGCTGGAATGGAGTATGAGATTGTACAACGAATAGGTGAATATAAAAAGTTCCTAACGTGGTGTGAAATTTGATGAGACAGGTTTCAACATTACGAAAACAATTTTGCGTTAAGAATGACGAGGGGGACAAGTGAAATAATACTGCAAGCAGTTCAAAGTGAGAATAGTAATAATAATAATAGTAACCATAGTAATGATGGAAAGGTACATAGATTAACTAAATAGAAAAAATAAATAAATAAATGTCAATTCCTATACGGCCAAAGCAAAAATAGGGATTGAACATACTTCTTTTGTACACAATGGTCCGGTGCTTGAATTTATGAATGGCCAAGGCATTCACTATCTTTAGAAGTTTAGAACGAAGTGACAGACGTCGATCAAGTGTTGTAGGATAGAGCTTTCTTTCTCCATTGCAAAATCACACTGGAATGTATTCTAGTATCTCTGGCTACGGCCAGCGTACCTTGCTCCACCATAGCAAGTGAAGTGATAGATAGACATAGAGGTGGCCAAATTTGGAAGCTTATTTTTACAGAGATAGGGGTGGGTGGGCAACTTACAGATGATGAACACCACTGGTAACTCTGCAGCAAAGAACGTCTTGGTGACTAATTTAAAAAAGGATGATTTCTGAGCATGTCTGAAGCCTGATCACCTTTGATTATTTGATACAGTAATTGATAATCAAGAAAGCAGCCGTCATTAAATGACTATATGTATAACATTGATTGATTTAAACTCGCTCGTTTGAAGACGAGCAAAACAGTGGTATACCCGGAATGACTTACGTAACTCAGAGAGCCGAATCAGTTCAAACCATCCGATTTCATGCTATGCGGTTAAATTTAACACAGCATGTGCTAAAAAAACATGGGTTGAGTGACAGAGCCACAAATTTCTATATTCATGCTGTTTAACTTGAGTTAAAATTTCTGACATCCTTGGATATAAAATACAACCAACGGTATTAGTATGCTTCATGGGAATTTCTTAGATAGCTGACTCTAGCCTAGAAATTTCTGGAACATTAAGTTTGAAGTTAGGATTTATTTATTTTATTGTTTTTGATCACTACAAACATCATTATTTTATTAGTGATTTCTTACACAGTCACTCTAGGAAAACAGGTGAAAAATAATTAAATAGCAAAATAATATATAGAAGATTTGTAGATCAGAAGGATGATTTCGGTGTGGTTGTATTCTCTGAGCCATGGATAGTTTGATTGAAATGCCTTCTTTGACCTGCTAGATGAGATCTTCAGAGCACATTCAATATAAAGTGATAGGACTAGACACATTCTACTAGTCACTAGCCAGTGCCTCCTACAGGAAATCTATCGTGAGCTCAAATAGCTAAGTTGTAACGGCTCTTACTGCATCACTGGACGACGACATAGATTCGAATCTCAGAAAGGACATGAGTTCTTTCACGATTACGGATACGCCATGCTGGCTGGTGAGTGCCAACTAGCACTAAACCTAGGTCCAAGGCTTCCTGTGGCCGATTGTCTCCAACCATCTATTATTATTATTGTATCCTTTAGTTCCTAGAGGAACATAAGGCTTCAGCTGCGCACCTCCATTGACTTCGGTTTTCTGACAACTTTTTCAACCTGCTCCAGGTCTGTCCACATGCTTTCATCTCCTCCTCGCATGACCTCCTCCAAGTCACCCTTGGACGACCAACTCACCGCCTCCCTTTCGGGTTCCAATCGAGGGCTTGTCTAGTGATGTCACTTGATGGTTTCCTCAGCGTATGGCCAATCCATCTCCATTTCTTTCTGCCTATTTGTTTCACAATCGGTTCCTGATTGGTTCTCTCCCAGAGATCCCTGTTGCTGATCTTTTCTGGCCATCTGATCTTGAGTATTGAGCGGAGACAGTTGTTAATGAAGGTTTGAAGTTTGTTTGAGATGCTCTTTATGACTCGCCAAGTCTCTGATCTGTATAGTAGCACTGACTTCACATTGGAGTTGAAAATCCGGATCTTATTTTTGATGCTGATTGCTGTTGACCTCCACACAGATTTGAGAGTAATGAAAGCTTGTCTTGCTTCTCCGATTCTGGCTTTGATGTCCTCGTCAGTTCCGCCTGTAGTTGAGACGATGCTTCCCAGGTAGGTGAAGGAGGTTGTTTCTTTCAGGTTCTTCCCATTTATGCTTATTGTGGTCTGTTGGTGTTGTTGATGTTGGCTAGGAATCTTCATTATCTCTGTTTTATCTATGTTCACGTGAAGTCCTATCTTTGATGCTTCTTCTGCCAACTTGTTACTTTTCACTTGCATATCTTCCAGTTTATGGGAAATCAGGCATATATCATCGGCGAAATCCAGATCCTCCAATTCTTTTGTGTCAGTCCATTTTATGCCTGTTCCCTCGTTGGTTGCCGTTGTCTGTCGCATTATCCAATCAATTGCAATCAGGAAGATCATTGGTGATAGTAGACAGCCTTGTCGCACTCCCATCCTCACTTCGAAGGCTTCCGTAAGTTTCCCGTTGTGGATTACTTGGCATGCAGCATTGTCGTATAACTGTCGGATGAGGTGTATAATTGTCGATGGGTCTCCAACCATCTAATAGTATGCAAACTTGACTGATAAAATTCAATCTGCACCAAACAGACATCTAGACATACTGGACAAGGTTCTAGCTTGCGCCCAATCAAAGTATGAAGTGAACGTATTTTCATTCTGCTTAGCAATTACACCATCCAGTTAACACAATGCAACCCTCACCAAATTAAGTAGACATCTGTAAATTTTCTATTGGCGTAATAGATGGCTTTATTACCGTATAACCAGTGATTTTGCTTTTTATTATCCTTTTCCTGTTCAGCTTTCCTCAATGTTCGATGATACATTATTCCTGATGAATAGTTCTTCACGTGTACGAACCATCTTGGATTCTTTCCTGTCAACAATGATTATTTCATCGAAATCATCAACAACTTTCAGCTTACTCAAATTATCCGATGCTACATTCAAGCAAGATTTAGAATTCAATATAGAATTCTTAAGCCTACTGAATAGGCTTATCACTAAAGAATGTGATACATTATTGAAAAAATATCAAAAATGGTTTAAATTTACTGAATTAATTGAGATAATTATTCATCCCATGGTGAAATATGTCAATTTCTATCCATTGAGACATGTGTACATGGAAGGCTTAACAGTGATTTGTGCTAGTAAAGAGTTTCGTAAGTATTTTGCCTATCAGTATAGTGAATCATTGTGCCTTTTATGGCAAAATATTTGTGAAGAATTAGATGAAGTAAGTTGCGGTAATTTTTAATTTGCACTATTATTATTATTATTCTATGTCCAAACCTAGTTCACTTTTAACAGTTTGAAAAAAATTTGCGCATTAAGTATATAATATTCATTATAATAAGGGGTTCTGTACTTCCCAGTGAATGAGAGACAAAACGATACTGCTGTTTTTACTGACATTTCGCTATTTAATGCTGTTGCTAATAGCATTGTCAAAGTGGTATTATTAAACCAGAATTTACAATATCTCAGATTATATCATCGTTCTTGATTATGGGGTCAATTAAGCGTTGTCAAGTTGGCCAATCGGTAAAGAAAACAAAATGAAGTGTAGATTGTTGGGGTTGATAAGCGTACAAAATTATAAAAGCAGCGTATGTTTACTTGCTTATCACATTCATGTTGATTTTGTTACTTCATGAGGGAGGGATGTGTCGTAACCACGTTAAATTCTGTTTTAGTCTATCATTCCTATTCAGAGAATTTGGATTCCACTTGATATGAAGTGCTTCGGATGATGTTAGATGTACTTTGTGATTTCTAAAAGGCTTTTTCTGGATGATGATTTCAATATTGTCAAAATAAATTTTGTGGCCTGATTTTATAGCGTGTAGACCACCTATGGCTGTTGATTTTGCAAGCTTTTCTAGTTCCACCAGATTTCTAAGTGGTCGAACAGATGCTCTACACCTATCTGAAGAAGCATACTTACTCGTTGAAGAGAAGAAGAAATCCACCGAATTTCAACAAAATGAAACTAAATACAAACAGACTCCCTGAAGAAATGAAACCCAAAATTGGAAATTCTCTCTGGTTTAAACTAAAACCAAAATCTTATGTACCTTCAAGATTCTACGGTGGCTTACTTCTGTAGCTGATGATTTTTCAAGCTTTTCTAGTTCAACTGGATTCCTCGGTAGTCGAACAGATGCTCTACGACGCTCATTCCTTCTAATTTTGATTTAGAAAACAGAAAGATTGAGCGAAGAAATATTTACTTTTCAAATAGATCCTCATCTTTGGCTCTACTCTAATATATATAGCATTTTAATTGCAATACAACAGTTTGCCAAACAGTTTTTCTTTATTGAAATCTTCCGAGCAAAAATTTGCGTTAAAGGTACTCAATGAGTACCTGAAGTACAGCGCAAGACTCAGTGAGGCGAGAATTTCTTTGGACTTCATTCTGGAATGCATTGAGAGAAACCAATATCCCAAATCCTATTGGGAGTATTTACGACGCAGCAGAGTTCGCCCGAATAGTAAGACATTCAAGCGTCATGCATTGAATCAGATTGACTCACTGAAATCATGTATCACGGAATTATCAAAGAATGTCACAGAAAGGTTCTATGCTGTGGACGAGCTCCCTGAGCACTTGAAGAAAACGTTCCTGGATTACGTAAAAGAGGTTTCTGACAGGAGAAAGGAAAAGAAACGTGCCAAATTATTACAAAGCCTCGAAAGAAAAACTCCGGAAGTGCGATTTCCTCCAAACCCGGGTCGGTATGTTTATAATTTTTGCGATGTTGTCCTTGATGACATAGATTTGCAACTATTATCCCTAGGCACCAAGTTTTGTGATAATCATGTTCGAATTAACAAGATGGATATGGAAGTTCATTTCGAAAACTTCTTTGCACAGACTGAAGGCTTGACAACCACGTCAGCTGAGGCAGTTGAAAGTCTTAAATCAACTCTAGTCGACTGTTGTTATAAATATATAAATAGTAAACGAAAACTAAATAGCTTCTGTCTGTCTCTGTCTGTCTAGATTCAACATAGAACTTGGCACCGAAGTGCAGCAGTTCGAGTTGCCACGTTTCAAGAAACACAGGGAAGCCCTAGAAAAGCTGCGAAACAATGAAGATATAATAATTTCGAAACCTGATAAAGGCTCTGGAGTAGTCATAATGAATAAAACTGAATACATAGATAAGATGAATGGAATACTCAGTGATCATCGAAAATTTCAAAAAATTACATCTTCCGTTGATCCAACAGAAAAAGTTGAGAAACAACTAATTGAGTCACTAAAAAGACTTAAACAACAAAGTAGCATAATAGACGGTTTATATGAATCGTTAAAGCCTACTGGCACGGTTACGCCAAGATTATATGGACTACCAAAAGTGCATAAAATCGGTTTGCCACTTCGACCAGTGTTGGACATGTGTAATTCCCCATATCACGCAACAGCGAAATGGCTAGTGAAGCTCCTAAAGCCTCTGCATAATGAAGTGGTAAAACATAGCGTAAACGGCAGTTTTGAATTTGTTGAAAAAATAAGAGATCTTAATGTGAGGGACAAGTTTATGATATCTTTTGATGTATCCTCCTTGTTCACCAATGTACCGTTATTGCGACAGTGGATTTTATATGTGAAGAGATTACTACACGAAACATAGATATCGAGAAGGAACTTATTTTAAGATGTACAATGAATGTTCATTTCTTATTCAATAAGGAATATTACAGACAAATTGATGGTGTGGCTATGGGTTCCCCATTAGGTCCAATCCTAGCTGATTTTTTCCTCGCTGGACCACTGAAAGGAGTAATTAATGACATGGATTTCTATTGTCGATATATGGATGATACATTTGTGATTATGAAAGATGAGAATGATGCAATGAACATCCTTGACAAGTTTAATGATGCACATTCAGCGATAAACTTTACCATAGAGAAAGAAAGTAATGACAGTATTTCATTCCTAGACGTCTTCATGGTAAGGAGAGAAGATGGCACACTAAGAAGAAGTGTGTATAGGAAGCCTACAACAACAGGTCAGTACACTCATTTTTTGAGTTTTGTACCTTTGAAATATAAACGTAACCTCGTGAAGTGTCTGGCTCATAGAGCTAGGTTAATCTGTTCAGACGACTGCCTCAATGAGGAGCTTAAGATTATTAGAGAATTAGAAAAAATGGCTATCCAGATAAATTCATTGAGAAAAATATAAATTCAGCTCCAAGGAGAGTCAGTATGGCCACAGTCCCGAAAAAACCAATGTTCATAAAATTGCAGTTCCTCGGTGACAACATCAGCGAATTAATAACACAGCGCCTGAAGAATGCAGTTAAAAGAACTTATTATGCAGCAGAGGTACGTTGTCTCTTTACAACCACACCTATTTTATGTTCGAGAAATAAGGATAAACTACCTAAATTCGCCTCCTCTATGTGTATCTACCAGTTTGACTGCAGCTGCGGAGCCAGCTACATTGGGCGTACAATTAGGCAAGTTCATCGTCGTATTTCCGAACATCATCCAACGTGGTTAAGTAAGGGACAAAAAAGATCTATTCGTAGCTCTATTTTAGCCCACCTCGTTGATACTGAGCATAAGATTGATGTTAATACAGCATTTAAAATTATTTATCGCATTCCAACTTATCTTAATTTTGCTTTGCGAGTTCGTCTTCTACAGACGGCTGAGGCGATTGGCATTCATCTGAAGAAGCCAAGCCTATGTGTACAGAAAAAATTTGTACAGCCACTTTCCCTACCGTGGCCATCGTCACAAGAATGGATAAACAGGACTGCGTCACCCCCCCTCCCCCTAAACCTATAAAATTATATTTGTCTAAATTATTTATTTTATTTTATTTATTTTGACCACTTCATCTTTAATTTACGTGTTATTTTTGTAAAATTAATTTATTCTATCCATTTCCACCTTTTAAATCTGTATTGATTTTCTTCGTTAACTATTAACCCATTGACACTGTTTAATTATTGTTAACAAACTTATCGCCACTTGATTGGCAAACTGTTGTATTGTAATTAAAATGATGTATATATTAGAGTAGAGCCAAAGATGAGGATCTAATTGAAAAGTAAATATTTCTTCGCTCAATCTTTCTGTTTTCTAAATGTCTAAATGGGGATTTTTTCTTTAATTTTGATTTCTCGAGATGTTTGTCCGATGTATATCACATCACATTTGAAGCATTTCATTTTATAGACACAATTAGATAGAGGATCTTTGGGGATTCGGTCTTTTAGATGGACAAGGTCGTTTCACAGTGTATTTGATATTTGAAGAGAAATATGATGTCGAGCTTATTGAGTACTCTTCAGATATCGTCTGATGTCTCCGCTCTATATGGAATAACAACCGTTGAGGTCCACGTTTTCGATCGTACCTAATGCCAGTGTTGATTTTGTTGATGAAGTTCTTTGGGTAGTCGTTTTGCTTGAGAGTTTCAGAAATGTTTGATATATCTTCTTCTTTTTCTTTCTCATCCGTCTAAGAAGGCTTGAAACAACTGATACCTTTACGCTGATGAGGTGTGGTGATCCGAAGTCTAAGTATTTGTTGGAGTGGATTTTCTTCTGAATATGGATATACTAAAATGTCCGTTTTCCGTCCTCTTAACTAGTCAGCGAGTCAAAAATGGTAGTTCACTGACGTTTGATTATGTTTCTGAAGTAAACTGGATTCTGGGAGATAGATTGTTTATTTTCTCCAAGGATGAACTGTGTATATTTCGTTTAAACACTATAAAAGTATCATCTACATACCCTAACCATATTGTAGGAGTGAGTATGCTTGAAAAGATGTTGTCTTCGAATCTATTTATGAACAGGTTAGCGACTATTGGGGCAACCGGTGAACCCATACAATTATTACTATTATTATTCAGTTGAATTTCGAGTGGAACATAGGGTTTAAACAGCATATTTCGATTTTACTGGGTTCTATGTTTGTCTGTCTGTTTTCGACATAGAACTTTACACCTATGTGCGGCAGTTCAAGTCGCCACGCTCCCTCCATATAGCACACAAAGAAAGAGAAAGTAGAAGTAATGCATACTAGAGACAGTAAACAGAGGTACCAGACAGAGGAATAGTAATAACGAAGAACAATATAGTTTCATTGGAAATTATAAGTCAAAAGTAGTGGATGGATCTGCACCAGCCAGCCATTGAGAACGACGATTTTGAGCCATATAACCGTTTGTTTCCAGCCATTGGTTTTTACCATCCCAAGGAGTCTAACCAGGAAGTCTACATCTTCCTATATGGCTGGCGCAAACTAACTGTTGTGGATTTCATAGACTGGTGACGCCATGTTTTTGTTTGACCACCGCTAGCTCTTTTCTAGCCCGACCCTATGATCATTGTCGAGGAAGGCGATGACTAGGCATACGTAACACATGTCCTAACCATCTAAGTCGATGATTGGTTTCCCTTCCTTACCTAGCATTCGTCATGTGCCTAACCTCAATATTGTTCACCTTATTATACCACTTCACACGGGAGATAGAGCGCAGGCACCTATGATCAAGGACAGCTGATCTTTTCATGTCTTCCACTCTCAATGGCCATAACTCACAGCATCAAGGAGGAGTGAGTGAACTGCTGAGAAGTGCACACGCCCTTTGGTCGATAGCCAGCTAGGCGGATATCCCGTCCACGCCAGAGACGACGTAAACTGGCATATGCGAAACTAACCCTCTGTATCCGTGCTATGGGTTCTATGTATTCCTTTTTAGCTGTCTCCGCGATTTCTCATAAGCTCTCATCTCTTCTTCATACGATTTTTCGACGTCACTATTTGATCCATACCTGACTCATTGTTTCATACTCAGGTTCTACCCAATCGCTTGCCTGGAGCAGGATGTTATTCAAAGGTATCCTCAGTGTCTGTCTAATTTATACCATTGGGTTTGCAGATTTGTCAGGTGAAAGTTTCTTGACCAATATATGTTAGAGAAGCTCTGGTTAATTAACCGAAATTACTGTTATAATTCCTTTGGAAGATAATCATACTTGTAAATTAGGAGAGAAAATTATTGGTACCAATCTTTTTTAGTTACTTGCTACGCATAAGCAAAATGAAAACATTATGTCTGTTAAAAAGTTTAAGATTTAATCATATGTATATATTTCTTGTGTGATGCAATGGCTGATTTGGTTTCTAGTCTCTTCGATTCCACTGAAGTTCTCGCAACTGCCTTAAGACTCCCCTTATGTTTCAGTCTTGATCCCAAAATAGTGTCAGTTAGACAACTTTTGAAAACCAAAGAGTGCTCGCTATAAAAGTCACTATTCTGAGTTCTCGGGAGTAGGCAGCTGTGACTTCACACAGATCAAATTCATTGGCTTCAGGATCATGAGCCGACCTGATTGACCATTTAGCTACTGAGACAGGATCCAATGGCCAGCAAATTCTTATTGCAGTCAATGCAATTTTTCTCAGAGACACAGTCAGCGTGCATTTATTGTCAGCTTTCGACAGCGTTAACCGCGAAGTAATTTGGAAACCAATCGAGTACTACGGCGTACCCTAAACATTCATCAACACTATTCAACAGATGTACGACACAAGGCACATGTCAAGTGATCCACACCGGAAAACTCAGTGAGGCGTTTGGAGTAAACACAGGAGTCAGACAAGGGTGCTTATTATCACCAATGATATTCCTAATTGTGGTGGACTGGATTATGCGTCAGACTGTGAGTGGGAAACGAGAAGACAGGAATATCCTGCACCGACGTGAAGAACCTAGTGAACCTAGATTTCGCGCGTGGATGATTTATGCTTGATATCACACAAAATCGAAGACTTACAAGCGAAAACCGACTGACAAACTGGTCGAAGAAGCAACCGACGAAGACAGGACTCCAGGTGAACATAGACAAGACGGAGGTTGTGAAAATAATCAACCAACCAACAACAACAGCAGCAATATCCAGTGCCAATCACCATCAACAGGAGGGATTTGTAAGAGGTTACTTCATTCACTTATCTAGGGAGCATTGTCTCAAATAAAGGGGGAACGGACGAGGATGTCAAATCGAGAGATAATCAGGAAGGCGAGCGAGAAACACATTCATCAACCTGAAACCAATCTGGAAAACCAATCTTCGTCACTCAGCCAGCATCAACAACAAAATTCGGATCTTCAATACAAACGTCAAGTCAGTCAGTTCTTCTATACGGATGAGAAACTTGGCGGATGGGTCACAAAGAATATTTCCAACAACCTGTTGCAGACCTTTATCAACCAACAACTGTCTTCGCTGGATGTATACTGAAGATCAGATGGCCGGGCCGGAAACAATCACCAACAAGAAACTATGGGAACAAAAAAAAACAAGAGCAAACCGATCGCCAACCAACAAATATGCAGGAGAAAGTGGAGGTGGATGGATTGGACACTCGCTCGCTGAGGAGGCCGCCGCTGGGTGACATCGCACGCGCGTCAGGCCATTGTTTGAGTGGAACCTTGCCAAAAGAGAAGCACGCGGTGAGTAGGACGTGAGTGCAAGGGTGGGTGATATGGAGGAGATGGTGTGGAGAGGAGTTGAAACAGTTTGGACTAACATGGATGGATGCAGGTGAAAAGTACAGCAGAAGACAGAAGTGAGCGGAGACTTGCGCTTGAAGCCCTATGTTCCATTAGAAACCCAAGGGAGCAATAATAATAAGTGGTTGATGAGATCGCCCCATAAACTGAAAGTTATGGGTTTGACTTCCGTACGTGGATACGTACTGCTAAAGAGTTACAAAACAGAACGAAGAATCTATTGAACATACTTTGATTTTCCGTTGTTTTCCAACCATGTATATCCGTGATCACACTTGAAAACCAATTAAAATCCTGCAAAGTAACATTTTAAAATTGTCCATGTTTTGTTTTACTCATGCGTTTATTAGCCTAAACTTTTCTCTCATATGCACAGTGTAACAATTCACACATTTTATTTCGTATCGGCAGTTCTGTTGTGATTATCTTCTAATATTATTATTGTTATGCTGTTTATGTTGTATTTTTTCTAAAACACATTACCATTTTAACTTTTAGCTTCTTCTTTACAATAAAACATCAAATAATGAATATAAAGTATTCTTGAGAGATTCACTCATTGAATCGATCAATAAAATCTTTCTACAGATTCAACTGTTAGGAGATAATCAACCTCAGGTTAGTTGAATAATATGTAAAATTTCATATTTCATCGAGGATTGGTATCAGTTAGAGAAAGAACCATTGAAAGCCACCAGGGCGTACTGCACATCTGTTTTGTCCTAGTACGGGACTCGTTGGCTGATATATCCTCATGGAATTTAGCTTCTAAAAAATTATGTATATATGTACAGTTTGTTAATAAATTCTTTTTGAGATCGTGGATACATCCATATGGACTATAGGACTTCATCGTGAGCTGACATTGGTTAGAGAACCATTGGAAAACATCTGGGAGTACTGGACAGCTGTTTCACTGGTCCTACTTCGGGACTCTTCATCGGTACGCACTCACCACCAGGGTTACAACCCAGGATCTTCTGGTTACAAGGCGAGCTCATATACCATTAAGCCACTGGGACCCGATCCAATTGCCCATGAATTCTAACTTCTGCGAATTTACAACATAGCGCAACCGCTAGCCAATGTCTTTGGCGAGTATTTGTCCTCACACGCGTCCTGCTGCCCCCTGGCTATGTCGTGAATTCGCAGAAGTTAGAATTCATGGGCAATTGGATCGGGTCCCAGTGGCTTAATGGTATACGAACTCGCCTTGTAACCAGAAGATCCTGGGCTGTAACCCTGATGGTGAGTGCGTACTGATGAAGAGTCCCGAAGTAGGACCAGTGAAACAGCTGTCCAGTACTCCCAGATGGTTTTCCAATGGTTCTCTAACCAATGTCAGCTCATGATGAAATACTGTTACCAATTAAATCCCTACAAACCAACATTTGAATACCCATATGGACATTAAAAGGAATAGGACATGAAGTTCAGCTAACATATCTTTTTTCGGCGATTTCATTTTCAAAAGCAGCTGTCAATCGCATTTAAATACATAGTTTTACATGGACACAATTCTTATTTGTTTCCACATAATTACAAAGGCGAATGAAAGGTGACAATTATTTTCAACTAGATGTGGTTTACGTGAGACTTAGAAACAAAATTACACAGGATTAGAACGGATAACAAGTGTGTAAAAATGAGCATGCAAATAAAATTGAAATAATAATTTTAACTTGAAATAGAAGTTATATCTTAATCATGTGCAATTTTTGTGTTTCTAAGGCTCTTGTTATCTGTATTCGCACCTCCTAACTCCCATCTCAAATTGAAAATTATTATTTCGAATTTGTTTCCATGCTCATTTCTACACAAATGTTATCCGTTCTAATCCTGTGTAATTTTGTTTCTAAGTCTTTCGTGAACCATATCTAGTTGAAAATAATTGTCACCTTTTACTTGGCGTCGTAAAAATGTGGTATCAAACAAACATGCGCATGGTCTGGGGTTCGATCCCCGACCACGGACGCACTCCTTCACTTCACTTATCCAGTTATAAGACTGATAAAGAGGGAAGGTTGGGCATGAGGTTAGCATCCCCATCCTGTAAAAATAAACACCACTGCTACAGAAACTTCAAGCCTCTAGCTTGAAGCCCTGATGTTCACTGGGGAACGTGAAGGAAAAAAAAGACAAGAATTGTGTCCATGTAAAATTATGTATTTAAATGCGATTGTACAGCTGCTTTTGAAAATGAAATCACTGAAAAGATCAACATCTTTGCTGAACTTCGTGTTCCTCTCTTTCTAATAAATTCTTTGAAAATAGTCCTTTTTCTGAATATTTCGTCTTCAGTATATACACATATTGCTAATTAAAGTGGAATTAATGTGTATGTATAGTTATGTAATTTATTTATTTATTTTTAGTATCATCAAGAGGCTAGTCGTCGTTTAATGCATAAACTTATCAGATTGAATAATGATCCATTACTCGGTCGTGTGGCTGATGAATGTTCACAGATAATCATGTCCACAAGTAAGCGCTATACACAACTTTAACTGGTTTTCAACCAGAATAATATCTATTACAGTCAGTCCTACAGGAGGTAAATTGCGAGCCTAAACAGCTATGTGGTGAGTCTCTGAATGACTGCAGCATTGAATGACGCGTGTTCGAAACTCAAATGGATCATGAGTACCTTCATGACTGCGAATACGTCTTGCTGACTGCTTAGTGCCAAGTAGCACGAAACCTCTGTCACGCTGGATATCCTTGCTGCCACCCGCAACCATCTAATAACAACAATTTATCGTATTCATTAAAATTTGTCATCATCATTATTATTATTAAATATTGATTCAGTTTTTGATCTGTTAACTGAACAAATAGCATTAGGGTGCCGTAAAAAGTTGTAAAGATTGTGTTGAATGGCTGAAAATAAATGCCAAGAAGTTGGATGGCTGAAACTCGTCATTTGTATGAACTGACTTTCCTCAAGTCATTTAAGCCCACAGAATGTGATGCTGTCATTAGATTGTGGAGCATTGGTCTAATAAATCTACTTCTGAGTTAGAACCACGTTTCACATACACCAAAGTTTCAGCATCTCCGGTCAGTATAGCCATAAGTCACACAAAATAAGTATGGCTAATTGACTTTCACACGGAACTGCGAGTGCTTGTCGATTAAGAATTATTCCTGATCTGAGTTGTGAGGGTTGCAGCTGATTCGTTTTAGAGTGGTGAATCGAGCACCTTCACTGTTCCCTGAAACTGTTGCCAGTGCCATATTCCTTAGTCTGCAATATCGCTTAACATTCATTTTGAGTTGATCGCTATGGTGAATCTTCTATCTTGATTATCTTGTTTGAAATAAACAGGCACCAAAATTTAGATAAAAGACAGTTGGAGTGAAGAAAATTTTCTTTTCGACGAAGTCATCGTCAACTAGGCTGTACATTCGTGTATTTATAAGAAATCGGTAGGAAAGTTCCAGAATAATTTCTGACCAAGTGTCTGATCAATAGAATTATAATTAAGAATTAAAATGCCATAATAAACACGGGGAGGAACCGATAAAACTCAGACAAAGTAGCATCATAATTAGTGAGAAGCTTGGCATATTGTGCAATTAGGGGTTGGAAATGTAGACATAACAACAGACAGGATGTTTGGATAAAAATCTAGTGGGATCATAACTAATGTGACGAATAATTGTTTATGCAATCAGGGATTAAACATGTAGAAATAATAAAATAACAAAAAATAGACGGGAAGTTCGAATATGAAAACCCTAGAAATAACGTGAATAAACAGGAAGTTTGGATAAGGAATTCAATGGGATAGTCACTATTAGAAGAATTACCCGTTTATGATGGTCACGGCAAGGACAAGAGTTGGACGTATTTCTTTTTGACACATAGCGTGGATTTGAGCTTTTGGATGGCTAGTGCCTCGGCTATGCTCTGATGTCTTAATTTCACTTCCTTTGATAGGTTTGATTGAATTTTGTATATTATTTTGAAGGATTTCTCGAATAACACTGAATGTCCTGAATTGAATAGGTTTTCTGTCACTGAACTACATACACGTTTTCGTTCTCCTTTTACTAGCCAGGTTAGATAAAAGACTGATACGTTTGTTTCCTGTCAGACTAACGAGGGGTTTTAAAAATTTCTATGGTTGTAATCAACCTCAAAGTTAAATAACCCTTTTATGAACGGTATACTGATTATTAGATGGCTAATATCGCTGTGTTTAGTCTCACTGGGTCAGGGGTAGAATACCAGTCACTGACGCAAGTAAGTTGGTTTCGATTCTCAGCCGATGCATTTCCGAACCTCGCGTAGACAGTAATAAGCCTGCAAAAGAGGGAAGGTAGGACGGGTGACTAGGAATCTCACTCGGTAGGTAAAAACAACAGTAATGGCATCATTGAAACTTTAGAGCTTAAGGATTGAAGCATTAAGTTTCACTCGAAAGGCTAAGGATTGAGATAAAAAATATGTCTGGATCAGACTACACACTGCGATACTCTTCTTATGTATATTTAATTCACTTATCTTCATAAGTCTCTTGTTTATACCTGAAAGTTAGTATGAAATTCGGTATCCTACTAGATATCAGTAATTGACCAATAAGTGCGGACCAACGGAATTCATCAATATGGATGTAGCGTTACATGGAATGGTGAATCAACTGTCAGTTATTAAGATGATAATTTATTTAGACATCCAAAGGTTTATATCATATCTAAAGTTCATTTAGGCGGGATTCAACGTGATATCTGCTAATGATTTGGCTAATGGACTGACGAAGAGCAGCAAGCTAGGACGAAACAGCTGTCCAGTACTCCTACATTCTCCAATGGTTCTCTAAATGATGTCATGTCATGATGAAATCCTTCATATAATCAAACAAAATCCCTACAAAAATCAATACTTGAAAATAAACGTGCTGTTATTTAGTTGATCGTGACCAGAAGTGGAATCCAAGGCATGCATTTCGTTCTATCTGTGACTCATCATCAGGATGTACCTACAATATCAAGTGAATGATGGTCAACCTATAGCAACCCACGCCGGCGCACACCTGATATCTATGGTCGGCCTGCAAAATTTGGGCTACCGATATCCATCCTGAAAATTCTATACTTGTACCAAAAATACAGTGTGGAATCAAGCTGTAAATCAAAAAATAAAATAAATAAAATAAAACTCAAACCTATGTTATCTTGTGGATAGCGCTTTGTGTGTTCGACCCTGTCTGGGAACACGACCACTGACTGGCGAGTGAAGATATATGAGTGTGAGGAGTATCAGAAAGGACGAGACATGCATCCTGGATTTATCTGCTGGTCACCATCCACTTGATAAGGACTCTTTCATATCTTTTTATCCTATTCAATTTGAATTATTTAAATGTTTCTCGTTTACAGTTGCTTCAACAAGTTTGCCTAATTCCCCCGAATTCTCCTATAAACTGGAGCCATATTTAACACGATCACATACACAGTTAAATAGAGCAGGTCAGATAGAACAATCATCTGAATTTGAAAGTGTTTTTGAAGAACCTCTAAATGATAAAAGTAACGACGATGATAACCATGATGATGATGGCGATGTGTATGCGAATCCCTTGAAAAAGGATCCATTTGAAATGATAGTCTTTCAATGTGATGCTTTCCAAAAATTTACGGCTAAGAAAAGTGCAAGTTATCTTGAAGATAATCATATTCGAAGCATAATCGATCAGCCCAAATCTCAAATATTTGCAGATTATATAGAAAAACAGTTCAATGTAAGTCTCACATTATATTTGATAAATAAATGCACATGAATCTGATGAAGAATCTGTGACTTACACAGCGAAACGCGCAGAAAAATCTTTTTTTTGATTTTCTTAACACGCTGGAATTAATTTAAATAAATTTTATAAGGACACAAGTCCATAAGTTTGATATTTAGAGTTAGTTTGCAGGATGACTGATTATCTGCAACGATAAAGAAAATATAGGTTACTCTTAATATGTAAACACAAATGGAGCAATCTTCAAGTGAGTTATTTTAATTCGTGACTGTTATCCTGTCATTTGCCGCTAACTGTTTTGGTTGAAACTAAATGTTTGACTGTTTTAACAAGAATTACTTGTGACCTTTATAAAGATAGAAATTTAGAAAATTAGCTTGAAATCTGAACTATTTACACTGATCGTTATTTCGTTACTAATCATGCATACAGGATCCTGGGTAGAAGAATGTACACTGGAAGCGTTGTTACTGATGTTTTACTGTACTTTTCAGATGGTATTCTTGAATTTTTCAAGGAATATATGTTACAATGACTTAAGTCAATGCAAGAACTGGCGCGGCATTATGCCACTTCTGTCCATCCCAAGCAAAATACTAAGCCGCATCATCCTGCAGGAAATCAAACAAGCCAACCTGGATGAAAAACGTCGACAGGGTCAGGCTGGATTCAGGAGAAACAAGTCATGCGGCGATCAAATTGCCACACTACGGATCATCATTGAACAGAGCTTGGAATGGCAGCCACCTCTCTATCTCAGCTTCATCGACTTTGAATAGGCTTTCAGCAGACAGCATCGATCGAGAGGTGATTTGGCAACTACTTTGCCACTGCGGGTTGCCATCGACAATTATACATCTCATCCAACAGTTATACGACAATGCTACATGCCAAGTAATCCACGACGGGAAACTTACGGAATCCTTCGAAGTGAAAACAGGATAAAGACACGGCTGCATACTGTTGCCAATGATTATCCTGATTGCAGTAAATTGGATACAACGGGCAACGAGGAAACAAGCATAAATTGGACCTACACAAAAAACTTGGAGGATATGAATTTCGCCGATTATATATATGTCTGATTCTTCACAAACTGGAAGATATGCAAGTGAAAAGCAATACATTGGCAGAAGAAGCATCAAAGGTAGCACTTCAGGTTAACATAGAGAAAACAGAGGTGATGAAGATTCCTGGCCAAAACCAACAGGATAAATGTGAGGAACCTGAAAGAAGCAACCTCTTTTACCTACCTGGTAAGCATCGTTTCAACTACAGACGGAACTGACGGGGATCCTAAAGCAAGGACCGGGAAAGCAAGACAACGTTTCATTACTCTCACGTCTGTGTGGAAATCAACAGTTCTCAGCAACTCCAATGTGACGTGTAAGCGCTACTATACGGATCAGAGACTTGGCGTGTCACGAAGGCCACTTCAAACACAGTACAGACCTTCGTCAACAGCTGTCTTTGCTCAATACTACTCAAGATCAGATGGCCGGCCAGAAAAGATCAGCAAAAGCGATGTCTGGGAGCAAACAAACTCAGTAGGAACCAAATGTGCAACAAATATTCAGGAAGAAATGGAGGTGGATTGGTCATTCTCTGAGAAAACAAATCATTAAGTTACATCACACGACAGGCCATTGCTCAAGTGTAACCCGAACGGGAAGCGGCGAGTTGTTTGCCGCTGCGAGGGTGGGGTGTCATGGAGGGGGTCATGTGAAGAGGAGATGAAAGCATGTGGGCCATTGGAGATACCGGGTGAAAACGTTGACGGGAAACCGAACGAAATGGAGACGTGCAGCTGAAGACCTATGTCCCTTTAGGAAGTAGAGGAAACAGTAATCATACAAATAAATAAATTTGGTGAACGACTGATGTAACTGAATAATTATAACAACGAGAACTAAAGAAAATATGATGCATAATCTTGGATTGAAATTCAGGTAGCCCAGTGACTCAAGTAGGCCACCGTTCTAGTAGAGTAAAATTGCTAGAAAGACGTAACATTAGGCTAAAATTTACGAAGATGTCGTTGTCCGTGTTTCATTTCAGAGCCAATAGCTTGAATAATGAAAGGATGATGTATTGCGTTTGGTAGCCCAGGGATTTAAACACGTCGTCAATGTTGAAAATTCCAAAATATCTATTACTGGCCTTCATTCTGCCCACTCGTTCCTATTATTATCATTATTCTCTCGGATGCTGAGTGGAACACATTTCCATTTCATTCTGCTTTCCGTAGTCCTACTTATCTGGCCCCATGACTTGCTAAGAGGTTTTATCACTTTCTTGTACGATCTCTTCCATGTCACTCTCAAGCCTCCAACTCGTCGTTTCCCATTTGAGTTACACTCGATGGTTTGTTTGATGCGTGATATCATTCAGCAGTCTTCTCAGAGCGTGTGCTTTATATCTATGTACATTTCCTTCTTCTTATATGTCGGGCAATAGGTTTTTGCCATGTTGTCTGAAAGACTTCCTCGTTGCTTATCCTATATCTCCGGTCAGCTAATCTTAAGCATGTAAAGAACGCAGATGCCGATGAAGGCAGCATGTCGCAAATGCTTGTCATGACGCGTCAAATCTCTTTATACTGAATGCATCAGGTTCCTACATTGGTTTTATATAAGTGAATGTCTATCTTGCTTTTTCGATCCTGGTCGTTTGGTTTCACCATCATCATGAGTGCCATTTGTAGTTGAATATATGCTTTACAGTCGGATATATGATAGAGCTTACCTCATTCAAGTTTCTTCTTGTGATAGTGATTAGTTCTTGTTGTTGTTTATGGTAAATGCTTGGTTGTCTTCATCACCTCTGTCTTTTATATGTCCACTCGAAGTCTTGACTTCACTGTTGCTTGTGTCATCTTGTTCATTTTCCTATGCACACCTTCGACTTTATACGGCATGATACATAAATCGACCACGATGTTCAGGTCTTCCAGAGCTGTTTTGTTTGTCCAATCTGTGATGCCTGTCTTCTTGCTTCGCAAGGTTCTTCATATGATTCAGTTCGCCACAACTAGGAATATTATCGGTGATAGTAGGCAGCCTTGTCTCACTCCAGTCTTCATTTCACAGGCTCGGTCAAACCAAAACATGGCACCAGTCAATGAAATCCAGTGGATGACGTGAAAAGATTAGCTGTTTCCGATCATATGTGCCCGCGTTCTATCTCCCATGTGAAGTGGTATTATAAGGTGAGCAATATTGAAGTTAGGCGTAGAATGCTAGGTAAGGAGGGAAAATCAATAGACGAGGCTGTGAAATTACATCGACTGAGATGTTTAGGACATGTGTTACGCACACCTAGCCTAGCCATTGCCTTTCTCGACAATGGACAGTGTTAGATGACATAAGGTCAGGCTGGAAAAGACTTAGATAGGGTGGTGGTCAAACCAAAACATGGCTTCATCAGTCAATCAGATCCGCGACAGTTAGTTTAAGCCACGTAGGAAGGTGCAGACTTCCTGACTGGTTGGGATCCTCGGGATGGTAAAATCCAATGAGGGCTGGAGACAATTGGTGATATGGCTTAAAGTGATGGTTCTCAATGGCGCAGATGCATCCACTCCCTGCGACTTATGATTTGCAATGAAACTATAATGTTCTGCGTTATTACTCTTCCCCTGTCTCACACTTCTGTTTACTGTCTCTATTATGCATTTCTTGTACTTTCTTCTCTTGCTTTGTGTGCTACATGGAGGGAATGTGGTGACTTGAACTGGTGCACATCGGTGCAAAGTTCTATATCGAAAATAGACAGATAGACAGGCTTCGCTAAAATTTCCTTTGTGAATCCCTTTACATGTGATACTCATTCATCAAGACAACGTATAAAATAAACTTTTTTTGGTTATAAATTATCATGTTAACTGTCTCTTCTAATTTTTTTCTTTTTCCAGTATATGATTACAAAAATAGAACATCATCTTACTTCATCTATTCATGATGAATATGATTCACTTGTTAAATTTTTACAATATCCTCTGAATTCAATTGAATTACAAACAATTAGAAGTGATAATTTTTCATACAATGCATTTATAGCCTCGTAAGTAATTAATTATTTATTATATCTTGATTCTTTATCTAGTTTAACTTTTGTGTGTGGGATTTTGAAATTGGTCACAGTACTTTTGTTTGATTGATGTTATTGGACATAAAAGTTAAAGAAACTCACTGGATGGATTTCACTATAAGCCACCAACAGACAAACAACATTTATCCTTTTTTCAAATCTCAGGTTTGATAGGGATTTCAGTTAACTGAGATGAATATTTCGTCATGATCTCTAGTGGGAACATGGATGCCCGCTACTGAGCAACCACAAAACTAGAATGGAACAGTTTTCTAGTGATCCTTGGTTTTCAGTGATTCTCTTTATAACGGATGTAAATTCTTGACAAAATCCACTTTGCGGTAGTAATTCTGCTTAAACAATTTTCAAGTAATGGTTTCGTTGGGATTTTATTTGATTGGTCAGAGGATTTCATCATGAGCTGACATCATTTGGAGAACCACTGGAAAACTTGCAGATAGTTCTCGAGAGCTGTTTCGCCCTAGTTTGGAACTCTTCGTCAGTACTCACCCACCTCCATGTTTTCAACCCAGGACCTTCTGGGTACAAGCCGAACTCGTAGTTCATTCAGCCAGTGGAACCCGATCCAGTTGCCAGACTATGAATTCTGACTTCTGCCAATTCATGATATCGCGAGACCATTTCGCACTGTCTTCTTCGATGAGTTACTGCCTGACATTAATCTGATGCTCACTAGCGACTGGACCTATTCATGGACTTAACCTGAGGTTCTCCTGGGAAGCCGTGACCAGTAGGTTGCAGCAGGTTGGAGGTGAGGTAGTAACTCATCGAAGAAGACAGTGCTAAGTGGTCGCGCTATGTTGTGAATTGGCAGAAGTAAGAATTCATGAACTCGTCATTGTATCAGGTTCCAGTGGCTGAATTGTCTGCGAGTTCGTCTTGTATTCAGAAGGTCCTGGGTTAAAACCCTGGAGGCGGGTGCGTACTGATGAAGAGTCCCAAACTAGGGCAAAACAGCTCTCCAGTACTCTCTGCAAGTTTTCCAATGATCCTCTAACTGATGTCAGCTCATGATGAAATCCTCCAAACAATTAAATAATTTTCAGTTTGAAACGACAGGTACAGGACTCTGGTCTCACTGGGTGCGTTATCGTCCACCCACTAAAGATTACAGATCCAACAAACCCACAATTCTTAAATGAGATAAAACGCCGCATTCTGGATTCCACTGCTAATCATCATCAATCAGAATTACATCTCGTTATTGCATAGACCTCTTCGAATCATCTGTACTAAGGGCTGATATGTTAGCACAGATAGAACATTTGGGTTTGAGAAATATTCCTCTGGAGTCCTATGATGCATAGTCGAATGAAGTTGGTACAGTTCACTGCGTAATGTCTTCATATGACTTCGCGTAAGGATACATATCATCGTGTCACAATGCTTTCCAGTTATTTGTGATTAGTGACACATTCCTAGAAAAAACTCATTTTCGCCTCCACTGTAGTAAGCTTGACAGAGTACCGTAGAAACGCATTGAATCCCTTTACTGTCAAGCAGTCAGTACACAAGAAGATGTACACAGAGTTTTTAAATGGCATAATAAGACGAGTAATTCAATCAGTGAGTTGTAATCATGAGAAGGTTATGCAAGAGTTCTAATGAAATACAACAGTTATATACAGTTAGAAAAAAGGAATAAGCAGACAAGTTTGTCACCATGATAACAGAAGTGGCTGAATAATTTCCCTGTCTATGAATAGCTTGAATTTCTTCAACCGGAGTGGCTTCAGCAATGAAATCACCCAGCTGGAAATGAAAATCAATCTGAAGGTAAACAATTTCCGCTTATATCCATGAAATTTTAGAAGTGTATTATTCACCAGTTAAGGAGTCAGTTTCCGTAAGGACACATGGACCAGATGCAGCCAGATAAATTGTTGCAGGATGGAGATACACCCACAATTTATTGACTAGGTTCTTACAACAATCGGCTTACACCATCTCTGGGGTAGGCGTGACATCCGTCTATCAGCCAAGGGACGTGTGTACTGCACTGCAGTTCGCTCCGTCCTTCGCTGTGGCTCTGAAACATGGCCGATACGAGTTGAAGACATGAAAAGCTTGACTGCTTTCGATCATAGATGTCTGCGATCTCTTTCTCACGTTAGGTGGTTTAATAAGGTAAGTAATGCTGACGTTAGGCGTAGAGTGTTGGGCAAAGAGGGGAAATCAATCGATGAGGCTATAAAGTTACATAGATTGAGATGGCTAGGTCACATGTTGCGCATGCCTGCCTAATCATCGCCTCCCCCCCCCCGACGGGCATACTAGCTGATAAAGGTGCAGGTTGGAAAAGAGTAAGTGGTGGCCAAACAAAAACATGGCCTCATCAATCCATGAAATCCTTGGCAGTTAAACTGAGTCAGGTAGGGTAGGAAATGCAGACTTTCGGGTTGGGGCCCTCGGGACTCTAAGAGTCAATGACTGGAGACAATAGGTAATATGGTTCAAAATCGCTGTCAATGACCAGCGCAGATGTATTCAGTCTCTGTAATCTTTCATATTGCTTTCTACTATTACCCATTCTGTTTCACTCTTATACTTGTCAAACTCTACTGATTCTCTTCACTCATCTTCTTGTCTACCTTTGTGTGCTATTTGGAACGTGGGAACTCGAAGTGCTGCACTTCAGTGACAAGTTCTATGTTGAATCCAGACAGACAGACAGAGACAACAATCGAGATCTTGATGTTAACCCAATTTGTAATTCCAATTATATTAGTTTCAGTCTGTGAAAACTAAGATTTTCAAATGTCATCTTACAAATATTAACTTTTCATGATTACAATTTACTAAAGGCACATTTGGGATATATTATTTAGATGCATGGGCATATATCATATCTTCACGTATTCAGACAAATTTCACATGTTTTCATGTTAAGAAAAACGTAAATGTCTGGAAAAAATAGATTACCTGATAACTGGCATGTTATGTCATAAATTGCTAGTTGGGAAATTGTCATATTGGAGGTCTAGTCTATGCGTTAACGAATGAATAATTTGAATGCGTTCGTGAATTTTTCCTGTGTGCTTCCATATTAGTTTGTTTATTAGATGCATCGCACAGTGAGTGAAACAGTATTATTATTTACTGGATGACAAGGTTTCGAACAAAAGTTATTGTGGTTCAGAGTCATATCAGTTATAATCACACAACTTCGAAACTCAAGTTTTATAGTTTTCTTTGTTATTCCTATTTGTCGTCGTAGGTGTAGTAGAATTTTCCAGATATCTGAGAGGACAGGTGTTGAATCATTCCTATCACACGTATTTGCAGTTGATTCGATAAACAAAGCTTCTGTTATCAGTCTCTCCCTCAATTCACCCTGTGACATTAGATTTTAAAACTGTCATCCTATCCCATCCTATTGTGTGGTTGTGTGTAGCTGCCTTGAGTGAGTGCTATCTATAGCTGAACTATTCTTTAGATTTCTTATCTTATTTAGGTCAACCAATCTAGATTTTGCTAGGTTTTTATGTTCGGCTAGTCTGACGGCCCCTGTTCTACTAATACTTTGACCTATGTATTTGAACTGACATTCATTGCAGGTAGGGTATTAGATAAACTCCTTTAACCGACAAAGCTTGTTTCTAATTGAATTTGTAGGTTTGAATGCCAGCCACTTTTATTCCTGCCTTGTTAAGAATTCTGAATAAGGTCTCCGAAGTTCCTTCCTTGTATGGAGTTACCACTGATGATTTGGATTCCTTATTGTTGGTGTTGTCTTGCGCACATTTGACTTGCATGTCGCCGTTATTATTATTATTATATCACTTTCACTGCTATCATTATGTTTTTTTATTTTTACATTTACTTACATATTTCTCGACTAATTTATCAGGGTAATTACTAAGTTTCAATGCTTATCTTATACGTCTCACTTCCTGTCTTAGATTTTCCTTGGTACTACTTAGTTTTTGTGCTCTGTCACTTAAACATTTCACCAATCCTTATGTTTTGCACTATGTAACGATTCATTATGAAGATATTTAAGCGACTTCATATTTGATGGTGTTAACACATAGAAGACTGACTGACTGATTGATTTTTAATATAGATCTCACCACAAAAGTTGCTTCACAACTTCATCAATTTACCCTACCCTTCTTACCTGGTAATAAACACTTCACCTCAGTGTTTTTTACCATTTTATAACATTTAACCGATGGAACATAACTCAGATACCTTTGATCAGGAACAGCTAGCTTTTTCATATATACCACTTTCAGTGGCCATCCTCCACAGCTGTAAAGAAGGGGACAGGGAAGTGGTAAGCAGTACATAGTCCTTTAATCGACGGCCGGATGTCATGTCTACGCGAGAGATGACATAATTTAGCTAGTGTCACACAAGTCTTTCAGATCCATACTGAGAAAAGCTAATTGATGATCATAAAGGGAATAATAAAACTTGACTGAAATCAAATTACCTATCTTTAAGAGATAATAGATACCCTTCTACTTGATTCTTAGTGTCTGCCAGTGAAATTACAGCAACTTCAATGTTAAGTGGTTATTATAACAGGTTAATACTTACCCAAAATCTCCTACCAGATGTTCCCTTGATCATTTTCGTCAAATAAGGAGATTTCTGGCATAAAATGTGTGCACTTTATTTCTAAGCTTCTCTCTTTAACTGCAGATCATTAATTTTAACTTATATGACAACAACAAGTGTCTCTGCAGACTTCTTCACCCTCGATAATTTGACAGTAGGAGTTAATGTGAACAAACATAGGGATATGCATAAGGCGACATCGACTTAACCTGACGAACACACAAACCTGAAGATCTTCAAAACTTTATCTTAATGTCGAGAATCGGGAGACACAACCTACTGGACAGAAGATCCAGAAGAGAAGAAAATGTGGTCTGAGATCATTGTTTATTGCAAAGAACCTTTAAGTCCCGGCTGAAAAGCCTTCAAAATCTAGAGATTGACGGACACATCTACAAATTACACGTTTACTACAGCCATAAGAGAAAGGTCAGGGAATTTAGGCGGCATCGCCGAAGAAAACTGTATCCGAGAATTTTGGGACTCTCTGAAATTGGACTTCTGAAAGCTTTTAGTCTCTAAATAAATAAAACATTCGATTGGATCTTGTCATCCATTCTCCGCCCCCACCCCCCCCCAATTTTGATCTTTTCTGTAATACACAAATTATGTTGGTGAAAAATGTGAATATATATCTAGGCAGACTACGATACGCACAATTGATTATAATGATTACCAACTTGCACATAGCCCAAAAACAGATTGGTATAATTTCTAATTGAGTGACCACCAAGTTTCGATTGATACAAAAGAGTTAACGTTGGAAACGAAATTTATGCAAATGGCAAGAAACTTGACCCTAACAAATCAAATTCTTAATTTTTTGCAAATTGGCTAGTGATTTGCTTTTATAATAAGGTCATTGCAATCATAATATATGACCTGCTTGATACCATAAATAGTAATCAAGAAAGCAAGTGAATATGCAAATAAATTATACTACTATATACTACTGATTGATCGGAATAAGTAGTTGCGGACCAATCATATCAACAGGCAGCTCTTGCTTGTTGATCGATCGAAGTGATTTAGGCAGTCAGTGGTCGGCAGATTCGCTCGCACTGCTAATTCATATGAATAGTATGCAAGTGCTCATTCTGATCAATCAGTGGTAGTATATGGCTTGATCTTAACAAACTTTATTTCAAATAGGTCTGTTCAAATTCAACTTTGTCCAATCTTTTCCCATATCTTCAGAAGACAAGATTAATATGTGAACATGTTATATGAGCGTACTATCGCCAATGATTTTCCTGATTGCAATAGATTGGATAATGTGACAGACAGCGGAGGGCAGCGAGGAAACAGGCATAAAATAGACCCACACAAAAACTTGTAGTATCTGGAATTCGCCGATGATATATGTCTGATTTCTCACAAACTGGAAGATATGCAAGTGGAAAGCAACAAATTGGCAGAAGAAGAATCCAGACAAGATGGGACTTCAGGTGAACATAGAGAAATCAGATGTGCTGATGAAGATTCCTGGACAACACCGCTAACAGCAACAACAACAACAGACAACAATCAGCATAAATAGGAGGAACTTGGAGCAAACAGCCCCTTTACCTACCTGGGAAGCATCGCTTCAACTACAGGCGGAACTGATGAGGATATCAAGGAAATGATCGGAAATCAAGACAAGCTTTCATTACTCCCAAGTCTGTGTGGAGGTCAACAGCACTCAGCATCAAAAGTAAGATACGGATTTTCAACTCCAATGTGAAGTCAGTGCTACTATACGGATCAAAGTCTTGGCGCCGCGTCATGAAGAGCACCTCAAACAAACTACAGACCTTCATCAACAGCTGTCTTCGCTCAGTACTACTCAAGGTCAGATGGCCGGCGAGAAAAGATCAGCAACAGGAATCTTTAGCAATGAGCGAACCAACAGAGCAGGAACCGACTGTCCAACAAGTAAGCAGGAAGAAATTGAGGTGGATTGGCCATACTCTGAGAAAACAAACCATCATCAAGTGACATCACACGACAGGCCATGGCTCGAGTGTAACCCAAACGTGAAGCAGCGGGTTGATCGTTCACGGGCGACTTGTGGAGGTCATGTGAAGAGGTGATGAAAGCATGTAGCCAGACTTGGAGCCAGGTGAAAACTCCAGTAGAGAACTGAATGCAATGGAGACGCGCTCGTGAAACACAATGTTCCTCTAGGAAGTAAAGGAAATATTAAAAATAATAAACTTTATTTTAGATATATTATGAAGTATGTATTAGGTCTATACATTTTCAAGTATTCATCTTTTTGTGCCGATACAAAGTGGTAGTAATTAACTTCAACTCATACTCATACTTTGCATTATTCCAGGTTAATGCAGCATGCCTATGATCTGATTAAAATCGGCTCTGAAGATCAATTTGTCAAGCTTTTGCAGATTTTCACATCTTTATCAAAAACATCCGTGGAAAAAGTATGTCTGTGTACGGTATATAGTTAATTGCTTATGTGTTTTTCTATGTTAATGTTAAACTATTTTTTACAGTGATTTTGTTATTGGTTAGGTAGTCGGTTTACTAAACGTCAATTACCGCATAGTTATGCATGTGTGTCTGTTTGTGTCAGTCTTTCAGTGGCTGAGTGATCGTTGACTACGCATACAGTTTTGGTTGGATTCTAGGCTGATACACTCACTAAACTTTACTTATATGGCAGTAAGGCTGGTAACAAAAGTGATAGTTGGGCTCGAGTTTAAAGGCTCATCCCATTTCAAAAACAACAGCATCTCTACTGTAACGTTAAAAAACACAAATCTGAAGGCCTTATATTTCAGCTGAAACGCAATAGAATGGAGAATAAATAGACATAATAAATTCATATGTCGCTTAATGATATGACTTGATTTATTCACCGTTTTATTGTTTTTGAAAAGTGAAACAAACTAGTCGTCAGTGATTTGAGAGAAAATTTGCAGATTAAATTGCCTAATCAAATGATTTCTAGTATATTTATTTTGCCCTATTCAGGTAGGTAGTTACCTGGGGTTCTAGTGAGAAGTCGTGACCAGTAGGCTGCAGTGGGTCGAGTGTGAGGACAATTACTGGCCGGAGACATTGGCTAGCGGTCGCGCTATGTCGTGAATTGGCAGAAGTTAGAATTCATGAGCCACTGGATCGGGTCCCAATGGCTGAATGGTCTACGAGCTTGCCTTGTAACCGGAAGGCCATGGGTTAGAACCCCGATGGGTGCGTACTGATTAAGAGTCCCAAACTTGGACAAACGGCTGTCCATTACTCCCAGTTGGTTTTCCAATGGTTCGCTAACCAATGTCAGCTCATGATGAAATTCTGTAACCAATCAAATCCCTACAAACCAACACTTGAAAATGAGAATATATTCTTTGGAAAAGTAGTTGTAAGTATAAAGGCAAACTTATTCTTAATTTCTTTCTGTCATCAAGATTAATTTGAAAAAATTGTCATGCCAGTGTATCATGATAGTCAGTGAAACTATTAAGTCTTTTTTCTTATCATCAAGTGAGGTTTTGAAGGTGTCTATCTCTAGTGTGGTTCCTCTCTGTCGAATTACCGAATGCTGTACTTTTCTCATTAATCAAATATTTTATCTATTGGTTTTTGCAGCGATTTTTTTGTTTCATTGCATGGAGGATTCCATCATAAGCTGACACCAGTTAGAGAACCACTGAAAAACCACCTGGGAGTATAGGACAGCTGTTTCAATAGTCCTAGTTTGGGACTCTTCAGTAGTACGCACACACCAGGGTTCGAAACCACGACCTTCTGGTTACAAGGCGAGCTCGTATGTCATTGAGACACTGAGACTTGACCCAATGCTTCTTGAATTCTAAATTCTGCCAATTCATGACATAGCGCGACCATTTCGCAATGACTTCTTCAATGAGTTACTGCCTCATCTTTAACCTACTGTACCCTACTGGTCACGGTTTCCCACTAGAACCCCAGGTTAACTGCCTGAATAGAGCCAGTCGTATGTGAGTATCGGATTAATGATGTCAGCTCATGATGAAATCCTCCATGCAATCAAAGACTTCTGTTAGAGAACTACCGGAAACCAGTGAGCGCTAGACAATTGTTTCTTCCTAGTTTGTGACACTGACCCATAATCCTACAGGTGATCGAACCTAGGACTTTCATATTACCAGGTGATCTAGTTGACTACTCGTCCACCGAGATGAAGTTCAATGGCCAATTTGTTCGAATTACTGTCGATTTGCGAATTTTGGCTTGACCGCCAAAACATTTTCATTGGTGAACCTCTGTTACCAGTCGATGGTCACACTTGTGATATCCATAAAATCCCAGTGAAAAACACCTGAGAATCACTCCAGTGCTCTCTTTTGACCCACTACAGGATGAAGTTGTCCGAAGTCGGGCTAAATCACATGAACTGACAGAAGTGAGAAATGTTGGCCCATTGGATTCCGTCCCAGTAACTGAATGGTCACTTAGCTCCCTTTTTAAACCTGAAAATTCTCGATGGGATCGTTGGTTAGGTTACTGGAGTTTACCACCGAAGAGTCCGTAGTAGGACTAAACGTTTATCTAATACTTCTTGCTTTCAATGGAACTCCAAGTGAAGCTAATTCGTGAGCATACTTGAAAACGTATTTTGATTCGAGCAACTGGCAGACTCACTGTGGTTCCACTTGCTAAAGGACATTTTCAATTTCAGTAATTTCAATAAGACTGGCAAATAGTACTGTAAAATGTATCTATTTATCTATCTAAGTTGTTGTTATTTACAATTTTACTTTTGCAGCCATCATCTGAAGGCAAATGGAATTCAAACACAATGACATTAAACCACAACAGTGATCAAGATACAACGCATTATTTTCTATGCTCAAATGGAATATGCGATTTAATTATAAATTGTATAGAAAATCCGAATACTTCAGAAGTTGTATTCATTATGGCCAATGAACTGGCAATAAATTTATTAAAATATGGGAATAAACATGTACAAGTAAGCTGTTATTATTTTATATTATTATAGTATTCTAACTTTCTATTATTGATATTATCTCTTTTCTTAAATGTAATGCCTCCATCGGTTTCATTTGATTTAATAGTTATTTCATGATGAGTTATCCACTCTGCAGTCTTAGCATCACCACTTTAATGCATACTGTTTTGTATAAGTCATTCAATAGAAGCAGTTTATTATTCGTGATTTGATTTGTCAGTTACCTTTCCTCGCATCATATGAATCTACTGCAACTAAAGCCCATCATCATTGTCTCTCAATGCATAATATTATTAATTGCAATTATTAGCATTCTCTGAGCTGGTTGGTTTAGTTGCGAAGCTTTCGTCATCCTTCTGGACAACATCTTCAGCGCAATTTTTAGCATAAAGTGAACGGATTTAAATTTTTTTTTCCATGAGTGATAGAATTGCGTGCGTCTCCCGGTAACCATCTCTACATATCTATTGACCATTTTCTATTGACTTGGATTTTAAACTGTCAGTTCACATGATTTACTTTTTATCAGTTGGTATATTTGGTCTATATTAACGTGTTTGTTAATCGCATATTCGTCTGAGTACCAGGCTTCCAGGAATTCCCTGGCACTTTTGGTGGTTCCTCTGTCTATGATATTGACATTATCCCAATTAAACTGATGTCCATAATTGTCACCTGATGTTCACCTAGCCACTTTGCCACTCCATGGTAGGTAGAGTTTGACATATCCAGGACTGGGCGAAGAGGAAGTCCTGGTTTATGTATTTTGGGCAGACCGTACAGACGTGAAGTATTACTTCCAGTAGGTTTAAGACGGTTATAGGATGCCTCTGAGATTACTCCACTTTTTCTCAGTTCTTTAAGCGTGTTGGTTAACTGCTTTTCAGCCTTTCCGTCCAGATCTGTTGGGTTAATGAGGTTTTGGAACTTCGTTTCATCCTTTAGAAGCGAATTCATTTTGTCAACATAATCACATTTATTCATCAATACTACTCCGTCTCCTTTATCAGGTCTACTGATTATAATGCTTTCATCGTTCCTTAACTTTCTTAGGGCTTCTCGATGTTGTTTAGTCAGTAAACTCTTACTAGAATGACTACTGTTTTTATACTGTTGACAGCTGTCGACTAGTGTAGTTTTGAACCTAGCGACTTCATCGTTGATTTGGGGTTAAATCTTTCGTTTGTAGGAGGACGTTTTCAAACTGGATGTTGGTATCGAGTTGGTTGACCTTATATCCTTGGTCACAAAATGTAGGACCCAATGATAAAGCTTCTAACTGTAATTTGTCTAGTGTTACACTTGAAAAATTATGGACATACCGATACGGGTCTGAAGGGAATGAAGGGGAATCCTTTTCAGGATTTTGACTGTCTAATGATTTGACAAGTTTCGTTCTCCTTTTCTCTGCTCTGTTTTGGCTAACACAGTCGACATACTCAATGAAATCAAATAATAAATCCTGAGGAAGTTCATCGACTGCAAATTTCTTCTGTGATAAATTTCTTTCTATATCCGAAATGTACATTTTTAAAGAGTCCAATTGGTTAAGTGCATAACGTTTCAGTGATCGGGAATTTGGATAAACTTTATTACGACGAAGAGATTTCCAGTAAATTTTAGGATATCGATTATTATTTAAACAATCATTTATAAAATCTAGACAAGTTTTCGCTTCTGTGAGTCTGGCATTATACTTCAAGTACTCATTGAGTGCCTTTAATGCACTGGGATCCACACGTGATTTCAAATCGTTAAATATTCCTCCAACCGTTACACAAGATGGTAGTAAGTCATAGTGTTAAAGACGTTTTTGAATTTATTGCTAACGTGGATGATATTAATGTAAATGGAAAGCAAATGCTTTCCCTCGATGTAGCATCACTGTTTACCAATGTACCACTTATGGAGACTGTGGAATTCATATGCCAACAGATACTAGAAAAACAGATCGACATCGGAATACCGGTTAGTAGTCTGAAAGAGTTGCTTTTAAGATGTACTATGAATGTACATTTCATATTTAACAACCTTTACTACAGGCAAATCGACGGTATTGCCATGGGTTCTCCGTTGGGGCCAATTTTAGCAGATTTCTTTCTTGCCAAGATTGAAAATGGTCCATTGAAAAAAGTAATAGAAAAAGCTGATTCTTATTTTCGTTATGTTGATGATACCTTTATTATTCTTGATGTGAAAGCTGACAAGAATGAAATGTTAAAAAAGTTTAACGATGCACATCCATCGCTTATCTTCACTTGTGAAGAAGAATATGATGGTGGACTACATTTTCTTGACGTCCAATTGAGCAGAAGAGAGGATGGTTCACTAAAGAGAGATGTCTATAGAAAACCTACATCTGTAGGACAATATACACATTTCCTCAGTTATGTACCAATCCGTTACAAAATCAATTTGGTCAGATGCCTGACGAATAGAGCAAGACGCATCTGTACAGATGACTCTCTAGAGAATGAGCTAGGATACATCCAAAATACGTTAGTCCAAATGGGTTATCCTAGTAGATTTGTCAGGAGACACATGAATGCTAAGTACAATAAAGAGAAACCGATAACAGTTAAAAAGAAACAACTGTTCATCAAACTGCAATTTAATGGGGACGTGGCTAGTGAAGTCTTACATCAGAGATTATCGAGAGCGATAAAACGGACTTATACTGCCGCCACCCTCTGTTTGTCATTTTCCAGCCGGCCAATTTTGATTGCTCAAGTGAAAGATAAGTTACCTAGTTGTGCCACTTCCATGTGTATCTATAAATTTAGTTGCTCCTGTGGAGAAAGCTATATAGGCCGAACAACTAGACAGCTTAACAAACGCATTAATGAGCATCTTCCTTCATGGTTCGGAAAAGGTCAAATAAAGTCCATACGAAGTTCTATTTTGGCTCATTTGATTGATAGTGGTCACCAAGTGGACAAAAATAGTGCTTTCAAAGTTATTTACCGCATTCCATCAAGTCTTTCGAACGGAATCAGAACCCGTCTTTTACACTTAGCCGAAGCTATGGGAATTCGAGAGAACAATCCTAGTCTTTGTATACAAAAGAAATTTGTTCTACCTTTGTCTCTCCCTTGGCCTAGGTGAATTCTATTCAAAACCCTCCCACCCTTTCTTATCATCCCTCTCCTTCGTACTTTTATGATATTTATTTAAACTCTGATTATCGTTCCATTTGATTTGACCTAATTTATTTATTTATTGAATTGTCTACATATATGCATATACTAACTTTGTTATTCTTATCACCTATATAAGCCTTATTAACAATATTTTGTTATTATTATAATCATCGTTATTAACTTCGTTCAAAACATTTACCACATTATTATTACTATTATTATGATTATTATTATTATTATTATTATCATGATTACTATTATTGTTTCATACAATTTTGTTTACTACACATGTTGATACCTGTTTCATGACTAATATGAATGGACAAAGTTTAAAAAAAAAAAAAAAGATGTGCCCCTTTTTATATATAAACCTCTGTTATGTTAATTTCGATTAATTTCCCTGAAGAAGAGTTTACCAGTTTGAGGAACGAAACGTTGGATTTACTCATTTCAATCTCACTGAGATTTTACAAATATAATTTTTTACAAATTCAGCCAGAACCTTGTGCACAAAAATAATTTGTACGATCTCTTTCGTTACCATGGTCTTGATTTTACTATGTAATTCACATAAGAGAAACTTTGTTATCCTTATTTATGTCCAAACCAAGTTCACTTTTAACGGTTTATATTATTATTATCCTTCTTTATTCAGTGTTCCATTTTTGTTTTATTTTATTTCACTTTGTGTTATCATATTCTAACATGTTATCTAGTCTACTATTTTGACAACATTTCGCTCATGCAATATTTCCATCATATTATATTCACATATTCATATTGAAATGTAGGTTGACCTCTGTTGATTTGGTTATTCATTCATGTATCTAAACCATTGTGACTTGTAATTCTATACATCAATATTATTGCACTTTAGTATTTCCACTCACTGTCAAACTTTAACACACATACACAAAAAAACTGACTGTTATTGTCTGTAGTGATTTAAGTAACGAAAAACACACCATATTGGTTCAGTGAAGAAATTCTCAACGGTTTGGTTTGTAAGGGTTAGTTTTGTTTTTACGAGTTGATCACGGATTGATATCAGTTAGTGAACCATTGAAAACCAGCATTGGAGTACTGGACTGCTGTTCCATCCTAGTTTGGGGATCATCGGCAGTACGCACCCACTGGGATTCGAACTCAGTACTTTCCGGTTACAAGACAAGCTGGCTTGAATGCCATTCAGCCACTGGGACCTTATTCAATGGCTTATGAATTCTAACTTCTACCAATTCAGCCCTTTGGGGTTGATCTCTGACGAAATCTCAGCACGAATACAGGGGGCTCGTTTCGCCTTTGCCAGTTTAAGCCGACTCAGGGAAGACGAGATGTTCGACTATCGACCAAAGGGCGGGTGTACTGCTCATCAGTCCGCTCCATCCTCCTTTATGGCTGTGAGACCTGGCCACTGAGAGTGGAAGACATGAAAAGACTAGCTGTCTTTGATCATAGGTGCCTACGCTCTATTTCCCGTGTGAAGTGGCTTAATAAGATGAGCAACATTGAAGTTAGGCGTCGAGTTCTAGGTAAACAGGGGAAATCAATCGACGAAGTCGTGAAGCTACAAAGACTGAGATGGTTAGGACATGTGTTACGTATGCCAGGCCATCGCCTCCCTCGACGTGCAATGTTTGCGAATATAGGGTCAGGCTGGAAAAAAGCTAGCGGCGGTCAAACAAAAACTTGGCACCAGTCAATGAAATCCACAACAGTTAGTCTAAGCCACGTAGGAAGATGTAGACTTCCAGGCTGGGGTTCCGAGACGGTAAAAATCTATGGTTGGAAACAATTGGTGACATGGCTCAAAATCGTTCTCAGTGGCGCAGATGCATCCACTCCTTGTGACTTATGATC